GCGCGAGAAATAAACAGTGTAGTCTAAGCAGGTTGCTTGCTTTTTCTCGCGCTTTGTTTTCTGAGTCTGAATCTGAATCTGAATCAGGAGTGCAATCTGGCCGTACCCTTCAACTACACTGTTTATTTCTCGCGCTTGTTTTCAGAATCTGAATCTGAGTGCACTCTGGCCGTAGGGTGCGGCCCTGATTCAGATTCAGATTCAGACTCAGAAAACAAAGCGCGAGAAAAAGCAGGCAACCTGCTTAGACTACACTGTTTATTTCTCGCACTTGTTTTCAGAATCTGAATCTGAATCTGAATCTGAGTGCACTCTGGAGGCACCCTTTGTCTACAATACAGGATTGCCAGATCTTCCGATTTTACAGGATTTTGTCCTGTTCTTCTGTTTCTTCACATAAACGACCTCCGTGCCCGAGTGGTTTCTACGCCGGGTTTCATGGTTGTCGCCGACTCGAGAGGTCCCGGGTTCGAATCCCGGTGGGGGCAGATGTTTGTGTGATGAATACGAGCATTTGTACTCCAGTCATGGATGTTTAATATGTATTTCTATATAAATATAATTATATATGTACAGTATATGTATTCTATCCGTTACCCTAGTATCCCCATAACACAAGCCTTACAGTGCTTACTTTGGGGCTAGGCTAATTGGTGTGATTGTTGGAAATATTATTATTATGATTGTGTAAAAAAAATGTACTGTTTTTCTTAGAATAGGATTTTCTTTTTTAAATTGCGCGGTGTGTTGCTTTTTACTGCATTAATAATGTAGGTACCTAACCTTAAATATAATACAATAAAAATGTTTCTGTAACAAAAATAACGAGCTATGAGGAGCGGCAGAAACCATAGAAACACATTCGTTACTGGCTTATATTTTGATTTGATTTACCAATTCTAGAGGGGGGGTGCAAATCGGAAAAAATACGCCCTTGCGTCTACTGTTATTTCTTGCCGTTTTTTTCTTACGATTTTTAAAATTCGGACCTGGCAACACTGCCACAATAGTACGATTACGATTGTTGCTCACGCGAGGAATGCGGTGTCACCGCGCTGGCTCTTCGGGGAAATCGCGTGCGTCAAATCAGGCGGATGCACACAGTTCTAACATTATAGACTATCTCTAGCCTTTCCTTGGATGAATTTTATACGTTAACAAATTCCGGATAAGTCAACAACCATTTATTTTTAAAGTCCATTTTAGAGTGAGTGTAGGTACAGACAGCCACCGGTCAAGTTATCCAAAATTGTATTTTTTTCATCTCGCTTTGAGCTTTATTTTGATTATCCTACTTAATATTATAAATGTGAGCGTTTGTATGTTCGATACTCAATCACGCCAAAACGGCTGAACGGATTTGGACGCAATTTGGCACACATATAGTTTATTACCCGGATTGAGACATAGGATACTTTATCCCGAATAAATATTAGGTTTGAACTAGGAACTTAATTTTTTTTTGTTTTTTTTTTTATTTAAGGCGCAACAAATTACCCTACCCCACCCGATGGTAAGTGTAGTTGGAGTCCAGTTGCGAAGAAAGATAACGCAGTTGAAGGTGCCGCTCCAGCCATTCTCACTTTGTCGGCCTGAGAACGCAGTGCTCTAACCCGCGGAGCTCTAACCCGCGGAGCTGTAACCCGCGGAGCTCTAACCCGCGGTGCCCTGGAACCCTACTCGCCAGCAGAAATACTACACCACCAAAAGGTGTGTTAATTTAGGTTGATCTCAGATTGTCTAGGTTATTTTACTGTGGTATCCTGTAAAGGAGAGGTCAGATGTGTACTGATTTTAAGCTCTAGTTACCTACGTCAAGTTTCCATACAAAATTTGACAATGACATTTTGCACTCGCAAACTTAGAATTCGATATTGGTTCGTGCTAAGGGTACAGAAATTACCTAATAAATTTCTCGAACTCGAGGTAGATATTATTGGCAAACATATCGATCTACCCTCTGATGTATATACTCGTATTTAATAATTATTTGCTCCATGCTCTTACATAGTCTTTTATTGCGCTCGACACCTGTTAATTTCTGTTTTTTTAGTCGGTTTTCATTTTTTGTTAAAAAAGTTTATATTTTTCACTTTTTATACGCCTGAGCAACATCAAATTACTATATATAAATGTCAAACCTGCCTGATCTTCCCTCTGATGTATATATTTAATAATTTGTATTTGCTCCATGCTCTTACATAGTCTTTTATTGCGCTCGACACCTGTTAGTATTTGCTTTTTTTTAGTCGGTTTTCGTTTTTTGTTAAGAATGTTTATATTTTATCACTTTTTATACGCCTGAGCAACATCAAATTACTATATGTAAATGTCAAACCTGCTTGATCTACCCTCTGATGTATATATAATTTGTATTTGCTCCATGCTCTTACATAGTCTTTTATTGCACTCGACACCTGTTAGTATTTGTTTTTTTAGTCGGTTTTCATTTTTTGTTAAAAAAGTTTATATTTTTCACTTTTTATACGCCTGAGCAACATCAAATTACTATATTATATGAATGTCTGACCTGCCTGATCTGATGGATATATTTAATAATTTGTTAGTTTTTGTTTGTTTAGTCGGTTTTAATTTTTTGTTAAAATATATTATACACGTATATATTTTTCATTTTTTATACGCCTGGGCAACATCAAATTACTATATGTATATATACATATGTCGGACCTGCTATGCCTCTTTCATATTTCATTAAACATTACACTTGCACGTTAGCCCGTTTTCGGGTGCACGGAAGATATTACTCGAATTCGGCCACCCAAAGCAATATTTACCTACATTGGAATACGGACTGGAAGACTTAGGCTCGTATTGCAGAATGACAAGCAGCACTTAGTTGTCATTCTGTAATACGAGCTTAGGGTACGGCCACAGTGCACGCAGATTCGGAATTGCCTAAATGTTGCCTGCTACCACAATGGCCACCCTGCTTAGGCTACACTATTTATTTCTCGTGCTTGTTTTCTGAGACTGAATCTGATTCTGAACCTGCATGCACTGTGGCCGTACCCTTAGTCGTTTACCCGAATTCCATTCGTACTCGTATTCAGGCTAAGTATAACTAAGTGTAATCGTGCCATTAGTTCCAATCGGAAAATCTGTCAAAACAGACAGTTTATCCCGAAACTCACGAAAACATATTTTTTAAAAGAATAAGGCTGCGTGAGGCGGATCTCCCGTCACAGCGCTGCTGCCATGAAACGAATCTCATAAAAATTGCATGCGGAGCGGGCGTCCACTCGGTACTTCCACCCAGCGCAGACCTTGAATCATTAGAATTTTATTCTAAATAAATGAAATCAGAATCACATGCTTACACTATTCAAGGTGCTTCAAACTTTCAACGTTCAGGCTGTTTAAATTTATTAAGTTATACCTTCCACGTATTAAAATTATAACAAAATATTTTTGTCTATGGATATTGAGTGACATCCCGTGTGACCAGACTCAGCAGTATCCCGCTATTTTAGTAGTTGTTGATCAATGCATCAAGATTGATCAAGGATACATCGTACAAGGATTAAAAGAGTCAACGCCCATTCGTTCATTAGTTTATTTTTCACACATAAACAAACTTTCTTTTTAATTTTTGTATTTCTTCTTTCAAATGTTTAATTGTATTGGAAAATTATTACGGTTGAAATTATGGATGTGGGTGTCTACAATTTGGAGCTTTAAATGCTACATAGCCTACTACTGCTTACCGTAGACTAACGGTAGACTATGGTAGACTACGATAGGTTGCCGATATATACCGTGGACTGTAAGTTCCAAATACCATATATTTTGTTTATTAAAAAATATTAATTATAATCACATAATTTGTCTTTTCGAAGCGAAATTTTTATTATATCGGCAAAAATTCTTTTGTTCATCTGAATTATGACGCAAAATCATTTTAATTTAAAAAAATGGTTGCCTGTAAAGTCGGTTTTACGGGCGAAGATTTTACGTGACAACGTCTTTTTCTCGGTAGAATATTTATTGACATGAATATAATTAAATTGCACAATAGGAACAAGGAATTGAATGAAAATAAGAATTGCACAAATTTTAACTATAGAAATATATTTTGTTTACTAAAACATTGTACATGTAAACTTAAACTTAACACGAGAGACTCATCGTAACGTTACCGAGCGTTACACTTTTTCATAAGTGACTCCCAGCCGCAACCTAATTTAAGACGTTGTCACGTCAAAAAAGCAGGATTTATCAGCATGCGTCAGTGGTTGTGGTAAAGCACAGGAAGACCGCTTGCCACGCGGCCGACCCAGTTTCGATTTCCAGCGAAGGAAGCTCTTTTTTATTTGCTAGTTTTTTTTAAAGATTATATTAAAAATTTCACTTTCATCGTGGTTTCAGTATCATCAGAATCTGTACTGAAAAAAATATTTAAAAAAAACTCATTTCAGTGGTATGTACATACATGCCCTGGATCGAACCCATACCCTTAGGAGCTTGTCGATGTGCTATCAACTAGGCTAGTGGATAATATTATTGCGTTATAAACAAGTTTTTATAGATATTGGTGTCGATTCTGCCATGATTCTTTAAACCTAAATTTAAAAGTCAACAGTGTATCCTTGTCGTACTCTATACAGAATGAAAAAAAGAGACTGATGTTAAATTTAGTTTTAAGTTAAGAGAATCAAGCCAGAATCGACACCAGTGTGTGTTAATGTCCTTTTCTCGCGTTGATTAATTTTTACAGCTTCTAAAGTGTCATTGAACTTACGCTTTGGTAATGAAAACAAAATAGCACGATAACCAGTTTTTGCCTAAAATCATAGTTTTACTTGTCCTATTCCTGATCAATTTATTTTCGAATTAATATAATTTATTACTATTTTTATTGTATTTTTTGTGTAATTCTTTGAATGAATTCTCTCTCTCTCTCTCTGTCATTTGTTTTTTTTCTGAAATGTAGTAGGTAGTTTTTAATACCACAAGTAGGATCGCTAATTAAAATCTGGTCACACTGGTGACATCATGGTCGTTGTCTCTTGTCTGTCATTTTGAGTTCATTCATTCGATTGGTCGTCACGGAAATTTACGACGAATTTTATCCTTTTGAGAACTAGAACATTCACAAATAATTGATTTTTAATTAACTTACTAAATATTATTGGTCTCTAATCTAAATTTCCCGTCAATAGAAAGGAGCAACAAAGAAACGTCCTTGAAGTCTGTGCAGTTTTGCACAATTCAATAGATTTGCGGTTGTGATGGAAACTTATTCTAATGTGACTACAAGACGAGTGAGATCAGCTGTGGAAGGATACAAATGAGAGGTTTAAAAAGCGCCAGTGTTGTGTTCTTATACCAGATAGTACGAGGAGAAATAGTTGGTCGCTAATCGACAGGTTTTATGTGCGCGTGACGGTGACATGAGCACAAACAACAAACGGCGTGGAGCAAGCAGTTCCAGTTGTACTGTGTTTGGAGTGCCCGCTCTCGTGAATGCGAATACCGCGATGTCCGCCGATCTCGCGTCTTTGTTTGAATGTCCTGTTTGTTTCGACTATGTCCTGCCTCCAATACTGCAGTGCCAGAGCGGGCACCTCGTGTGCTCCAGCTGCCGCCCCAAGCTATCGTGCTGCCCCACCTGTCGTGGGCCCCTTGGAAATATACGGAATCTTGCCATGGAAAAAGTTGCTAGCAATGTCATGTTCCCATGTAAACATTCAAATACTGGTTGCACTGTCACCCTTGTACACACAGAGAAAGCTGAACACGAAGAAGCCTGTGAATTCCGGCCATATTCATGCCCATGTCCAGGCGCATCATGCAAGTGGCAAGGTGGATTAGATCAAGTAATGCCACATCTAATGATGTCTCATAAAAGTATTACAACCTTACAGGGAGAAGATATTGTATTCTTAGCTACTGACATTAACTTACCAGGGGCAGTAGACTGGGTCATGATGCAGTCCTGTTTCAACCACCATTTCATGTTGGTCCTTGAAAAACAAGAGAAATTTGATGGGCACCAGCAATTTTTTGCGATTGTACAGCTTATAGGTTCACGCAAGGAAGCTGAGAATTTTGCATATCGGTTGGAATTGAATGGGCACCGCCGTCGACTTACTTGGGAAGCCATGCCTCGCTCTATTCACGAAGGAGTGTCATCAGCTATAATGAACTCAGACTGTCTAGTATTTGACACTTCACTTGCACAGCTATTCGCTGACAATGGAAATCTTGGAATTAATGTCACAATATCCATTGCCTAAATTATATTACCATACCGTTATACTCATAATTGTAGACCATGGGATGTACATTGAAAAGAGATATACATTATTGTAACATCTTCGTAATCAATCTATGAACTAGAAAAAAAATTGCAAAACACAATTTTAAAACAAATTCATATTTTTGTTACAATTTCTAATATCTGCAAATAATTCATCCGGACTTAGACTTTTTGTATTTAATTATATTGATAATCTACTTTAAAATAAGCCAAAAATATATTATTTCTTTTGATTATTGTTTGTATGTACATGTGTGTTCACTTTAGAATTAAGTAGAGAAAGATAAAATTCTTCCAGTGTGTACAATCACTATGGAATGCCTTGTAAACATAGTTTATAAAACAAATTATGACCTCTCAGAAGAGAAAGTGATTATCTTATTCCAAACAATGAACAAATATTTGTACTAACATTAACCATTTGTATATAAAAGCATGAGAAATTACTTAAATTTAAGAATTTTAAGCAATTTTGTGATGTTGCTTTGTGAGAAATATTTAGTTAGTCTGCTGGTGTTAACTGAATTTACTGTTAGGTCACAAGGGACTAGAAGCCTTAGTACAAATCTGAGATTCAAGTAGCTTCAGTGTCATTATCTACAAATGTATGAATACTGCCAGTTGCTTATAAGAGATGAAATGCCAAATAGGTCTCAAAAATTCTGCAAGAACTGAAAATCATCTATTGTCAGTATAAGATTTACAACAAAAACATTGTGGTGCACTTTTTAGCTATAGTAACAAATATCAAAACCAAAATCTAAGATTTACTTTATCACATAGACCATAAACATTTGTTGGCATTATGTTATGTTGGAATGATAAATGTTATATACTGAACTATATTCATTTTGTACAATGGACTACAAGTTTTGTTTCTGAACAATAGCTCAATGTATATAAGTTAACCAGTTTTCTATTGTTTGACTGAATTATTTATTAGTTTTACTGTAGGCTTCATTTTATTTATAAAAATGTTACTTAAATTTTAGATTTAAACACCTTTGTTCTTGTATCTTATCTCTCTTTTATTATGTGATTTGATGACACTACAGTAATTTTTGAAAAATGAATGAACTCTATTAATAAACCATTCGCTACCTACCACTTAAGAATAAAGCTGGTTAAATTTATGAAAATGCTAGAATAAATTTTTTGTAATATATATTCATTGTTTGCATTATATTGGTTACAAAAAACAACATTCATAAACAAAATCTCGATGAGGAGCTCGATGGCGCAAGTGGTTAGTGCGTTCGGCTGAGATCGTTGAACTTTAGCAGTGGTTGGTCATTGGATGGGTGACCAAAAATTACTATCTCGAGCTCCCCGTGCTTCGGAAGGCACGTTAAGCCGTTGGTCCCGGCTGCACCTGCAGTCATTAGCACCCACCAATCCGCACTGGGCCCGTGGTGGGTCATGGCCCAATCTCCCTATTCCATCCATAGGGAAGGCCTGTGCCCCAGCAGTGGGGACATTAATAGGCTGATGATGAAACAAATTCCCCTTGCTTACATATAGGAGGCAAAGAGCTAGTCTGATTCATAATTTTTGAGTCTCTGCATCAACTGTCTCATAATTGCTGAATTTGTAGATTGTGTTGATGTGTTGTCCGATATTATGGTAATTTAAAACTAAGATTTTTCAACGTAATTATTATTATTTGGAGGTTATTAAACTTTTATCTAGCTCGGATCGGGCAGTTGATGCAGAGTACCATCAATATGGTGTACTGTCGATATAACGTTTAACTGACATGGTATTTTTTAGGGTTCCGTACCTCAAAAGGAAAAAACGGAACCCTTAAAGAAGCACTTTGTCGTCCGTCCGTCTGAAAAGACCGTTTTTCTCAAGAACGCGTGGAGGTATCAAACTAAAATTCATATCTAATACTCATGTCTACTGCCCCTTGGAGCTGTGAAAAAATCAAACTTCTAAGCCAAAGCAATCAAAAGATACAGCCGTTTATGCCGCAAATTTTCGAAACTCAGTGAATCAAAACCTACAGTTAACTTTCTGTGAACCACGGACCTAAGGTCCGTGCCGTGAACGTAGAATCTTGAAATTCGGTACGAAGTAACGTCTTATAGTACAGATAAAGGAAAATTTGCGAATACCGTATAATTTTAATCATAAAAAATATTTTTGAAAATTTTAAAATTACTACCTCTTTTCTAATGAACGCGTAGAAGTATTAAATTGAGTTTGTACGGAACCTTCGATGCGCGAGTCCGACTCGCACTTGGCCGATTTTTTTATAGATAGTTCCGACAAATGACTCCACCCCACCTGATGTTAAGTGACGGTGAAGTCCAGACGCGAAGATAGCTGATGCAGCAGATCTACTTGCCACACCAGCCATCCTTACCCTGCCAGCCTGCATGTTGCTTTGTCAGTACTAGTTATGGTACTAGTATACTGTCGATGCAGCGTACTATCGATTTGCTGTGCTGTCGATACAGCGTTTATCGATTTGCTGTACTGTCGATGTAGCGTACCACTGTACCATCGATTTGGGGTACTGTCGATTCTTTAACCCGTAGATGTCAATGGAGCGTTTTCGCGAAAGTATCGATGCATTGACTGTCAATATATCGGAAGCGTTGCGTATTTCGTCATAAGTACATCTATTGCGTTGTTATTATTGCTGCAGTGTGTAAGTGCCTGTCCACATTTCCACGTCACGACGTCGTCAACGTGAAACGGTGCGTTGACATAACGTGCAAACCTGAGAGGCCCAAAAGCTCGAGTGTTTGACAGCTCCGTAAAGTATAAGTTACGTACGTTTTTTCGTCTGATAAGAGCGCTGCTTAGTTTTCATACAAAACTGGAGATTACGTTACCTACTTTACGGAGTTGAGCCACTTGTCGAAAATTTGAAACGTTACCGGCACCGATTTATGTTGACGACGACGTCGTGACGTGGAAATGTGGGCAGGCCCTAACTTCGTAACTAGCTGCTCTCTCATACATAATGTACTAAAAAGACGAGATACAAAGAACCCCATCCGATATTATCGACGATAAAAACGCGCCTATGGGGTTGAGGGATCCGCATCCGCGTATTAATCTCGTTGTTGCCGCTCTGTCGTCGGTACTTATACCTAGCCTCATACATGTACTGCGAGATTTCCAGGGGGGCAGCTGCCCTCCACTGCCCCCCCCCCCCCCTGAGTACGTCCATGAATATGCAGTTCTTGCTCACAAGTATTAATATTATAATATGTGCGTTAAAAAATTGAGTCTTTTAATTTCTGTCGTTTTTTTATTATACTTTAATCAATCATGGAAACTATAATAGATTTTTAAATTAAAGTTATATGTTTTTTCAAGCATTTAACTGCTAAATGTAAAATTCGTAGAATATTCTCTAAATTCAATTATTCATTTACTATTTGAAGTTGATTACGGCGGCATCACTACTATCATCTGTTATGTCATGCATGCGCTAGCATCACTATTTGTGGTTATGTCAATGTCACATTGTATATAAAATATAAAATTATTCATCTCCAAATTTCTATTTCGCTATCGTTAGTTCTTATCTTTTTCTCCGCTTTTCGAGAAATAAATCCTTAAAACTTCCGATGAGTGAGTTAATTTCACTACAAATTGTTACAGTTTTTCTAAAAAGTTTTGATGTGTTTCGGTACTATTTTGTTGACATCCTGAATGTTTACTAGCAGAGATTTCATTTTTTAGGAGTGTATACAAAAAGGAAAAGCAGTATCTAAAGACCACCATGCACGATGTTGGAAGGCTTAGTGGCTTGGGTTCTAAACAATTATCTCGGAAAATATGTAGAAAATTTGAACACAGATCAGCTGAGTGTGGCTCTGTTGTCTGGTTAGTGTAAATAAAATTTTTAATTTCATTTTTTTTATAGAAGTACATTTTCTAAAATCCAACTATTTGTCCTAACACTTTGAAAATAAAATAATAAGGTAAAACTGTAATTCCAAGCCCCAAGAGGTGATACTCAAAATTTTTTGTAGAAAAGGTCTCTAAATTTTTTTTCTGGCGTTAAGGTCACAAAACTAACCTAACCTAGCGTGAAGTATCACCACTTGGGCCCTGGAAGTACAGTTTAGCCAATTCAACTTGTGTAAACTGGATAGTGATCATGGAAGAGTTCATTAATAGAATTAAAATGTTCTCAGTTTAATTGTGAATAACTTGTTTCAAATATTTTCCAACTTTAATTTTTGTGTCACATTATACACTGTTAATGCTTGAAATTTCTTCACCGGTGTCAACGAACCGCCTGATAGATGAATTGCTTAGTAGATAAAAGACAGGATACGGTGTCCAGTCTACTTCTCCATATAGATATATAAATTAAGTGGCAACATGAAAATGATGTATTGATAAATGAATGTACAAATCATGCTCATACATACACATCTAACATGTAGTTTAAACAGGACAGTAGAACACCAATTATCTGAATTAATTGGTAGGAGTCGATTCGGATAATCGAAAATACAGATAATCGGACATAGACTGGTAATAAAGAAAAACCAACTGTCACACATAGAATAAACTTTATTAAGTTTAACAAACACAGTTCTACAATACTAGATACCATAATAGAGGTACGTAGTAGCAAAATGAAAATAAAAAAGAACAGTAAAACATGTAGTGTTTGGCCTCTAGCTTTCAACAATAACAGTTGAAATATATCTGGACTCCAGTGAGTTCCAACTTGTAAGTACAAAACAAAACATAAATGAGTTGGTTTTCATTTTTTATATTACCTACACTTATGACTGATTCGGATAATTGGCGATTCTGTTAATCGGCATTCTATTGTACTATAATTCTTCATTTATGAATATTTCAAATAAATAATAACATTTTGTTATGCTATTATTTTCCAGGCAAAGTAGAATTAGAGAATCTGCCTCTAAAGAAAGATGCACTAAGACACTTGGGCTTGCCAGTGGAAGTAAAAACAGGCTTTATTGGCAAAGTGCAGTTGCAGGTGCCAGTTCGTCAGATTCGCTCTGCACCATGGCTGATAGCCATAGAAAAACTGTATGTTGTGGTCACCCCTGTCAATCTGGACGAGGTTAGTTTGAATCCACCAATATGTAGGTCTAGTCTGGTGTTTTAATTCAACTAGTAATATTTGTTGGTTGTTGATGTTGTCAATATGCTTATTTATGTTTTATTATAACCATATATATTTCCTTTGGAGCTCGATGGCGCAAGTGGTTAGCGCGTTCGGCTGCAATCGTTGAACTTAAGCAACTTTCGCAGTGGTCGGTCATTGGATGGGTGACCAAAAATTACTATCTCGAGCTCCTCCGTGCTTCGGAAGGCACGTTAAGCCGTTGGTCCCGGCTGCATCTGCAGTCGTTAGCACCCACCAATCCGCATTGGGCCCGCGTGGTGGGTCATAGCCCAATCTCCCTATCCCATCCATAGGGAAGGCCTGTGCCCCAGCAGTGGGGACATTAATAGGCTGATGATGATGATGATGATATTTGTGCAACTACTTTTAAATCTAAAGAAAAGTTTACTAGAAAAAAAAAATCCACGCAGACCAGGCAGCGGACGGGACTCGAACCCGCATCCTTCGCTATCCGGGCGAATGACCATTATGCTACCACGGCCCTATTAGCCGCGTCGAAATTTTCCCAGCCTTAAGCTGCAAGGCAGCGCCATCTCTTCGCATTGTAGGTAACCCACAAAGTAAGCGAAGGATGCGGGTTCGAGTCCCGTCCGCTGCCTGGTCCGCGTGGATTTTTTTTTTTCTAGTAAACTTTTCTTTATATTTAAACATCTAGCAGTTAAATGCTTAAAAAATAAATAAAATCACAACTACTTTTAATTTTAGTGGGATAGTGAAGTAGAAGCAAACATAGCACATGAGCGGAAGGTGGCACTCCTGGATGCCTTGGAAGCGCAATGGCGAGCCGACCACGAGGCCTGCGACGCGGGCTACTACGCCACCTCATACTCCTCTTGGCTCAACTATGGGACTGGGCTTCTTGCCAATATTGTCGAAAATCTGCAGGTAATCAATCTTTCATATGGAGATTGTAGAGTTCACCTTAGTTAAGGTAAACCAGGAGTAAACAAAGACTATATTTAAAAATTCTATTAATTTTATTAAAAGCAAAATCATTTTAATAATTTAGTAATTGTTAATTTTTAAGGCATTCAGATAGACAATCATATTAGTCATTCAGTCCCCTTTTTAGAAACCCAAGGAGGTTGGAGTTCTTCTTGCACAGAACTTTCTTAAGTCTGGCAGCTTGATTTGTTGAATTAACACTACTACAGTAGCCGCGCGATCCTACCCTACTCCGGAATGTGATTCGCTTCTTGTAGTGTTTTGTGCTATTTTATATCTGTCCCAATCCTCACACAAGTAAACAGTACATTAACTGAACAGTTAAAGCAAGTTTGTGCAACATAACATATGCTTAAGGTACAACATTCAACATAAAAAAAAAAACAGTTTTAAAGTGAAAGTGACACGCATTATCATTTCATAAAACTAGTTTTTCACAGGTTAATGCACGAAACTTTATTTATTTATTGACGTTTAGCAGCCTTTACAGGCTTTTTTATTTTTATTTTGAAAACGTCAATAAATATATAAAGTTTCATGCATTAACCCGTGAAAAACTAGTTTTATTTAATGAGTGATGTGCGTGAAAACCTAAGAAACAAATAAATAATAAATAAATAAATATTTCCAACACTCACACCAATTAGTCTAGCCCCAAAGTAAGCACTGTAAGGCTTGTTTTATGGGATGCTAGGATAACGGATAGAATACATATACAGTACATATATAACATTTATATAGAAATTCATATTAAACATCCACGACTGGAGTACAAATGCTCGTATATTCATCACACAAGCATCTGCCCCTACTGGGATTTGAACCCGGGAGGGACCTCTCGAGTCGGCGACACCATGAAACCCGGCGTTCAAACCACTCGGCCACGGAGGTCGTCACAAATATTATCATTTCAGTTGAAACTGTATGACGTGCACATTCGATACGAGGACGCTTTGACTTGCGCTCCGCACGCATTCGCCTGCGGCGTGACCATGGAGGCACTCACCGCTGAGTCCTGCGACGAGCATTGGCGGCGCGGCTTCACGCTGCTTACGGATAACGACGGCTGCTCCTTCAAACTGTTGGAGCTGCAACAGCTGGCCGTCTACTGGGACCCCATGGAAGTGCCCGGGGGAATGTATGCAGGATGCGCACCCACTGACCTCACTGTGAGTCACTGTTTCTATATCAATAGTGTGTGTTTATTGACGACGCTGCCCAACGACGGCTGCTCCTTCAAACTGCTGGAGCTGCGGCAGCTGGCTGTCTATTGGGACCCTATGGAGGTGCACGCGGGAATGTTTGCGGGAGGCGCACCCACTGACCTCATTGTGAGTCACTGTTTCTATATCAATAGTGTATGTTTATTAATGACGCTACTCAACCGTGGCTGTTCCTTCAAACTGCTGGAGCTGCGGCAGCTGGCTGTCTACTGGTTTTCCACATGCTTAGTTTGTGTTTATTCATCACATTGATAACTGACAAAGATGTTTGTATTTTTAGAACTTCCTTCGGCTCGCCCACTTCTTTACTGGGTATTGATACATATTTTCAGAATAGTGTAATATCAAAAATACATTTTATAAATTAAACAAGTTATAATGTGTACTTTGGATTTGCTTATTGAAGAATTAAAAAAAAAAGTGGAATAGACGATATATTTATGTGTGTGGTGCAGGAGCGCATGCGCAATGCGTGGTGTGCGCCGCATCGGCACGTGGTGCGGCCAGCATACGCGCGTGCCCGCGTGAGGAGGGAACGCACGCAGCTGCCGCTGCGGAGCCGCACGCGACCGCGGCTGCTGTGCCATCTGACGCTCGACGCCGTCACGCTCAACCTGTCCTCCGTGAGTACACACACACACACACACACACACACACACACACACACACACACACACACACACATACGCGCGTGCCCGCGTGAGGAGGGAACGCACGCAGCTGCCGCTGCGGAGCCGCACGCGACCGCGGCTGCTGTGCCATCTGACGCTCGACGCCGTCACGCTCAACCTGTCCTCCGTGAGTACACACACACACACACACACACACACACACACACACACACACACACACACACATACGCGCGTGCCCGCGTGAGGAGGGAACGCACGCAGCTGCCGCTGCGGAGCCGCACGCGACCGCGGCTGCTGTGCCATCTGACGCTCGACGCCGTCACGCTCAACCTGTCCTCCGTGAGTACACACACACACACACACACACACACACACACACATACGCGCGTGCCCGCGTGAGGAGGGAACGCACGCAGCTGCCGTTGCGGAGCCGCACGCGACCGCGGCTGCTGTGCCATCTGACGCTCGACGCCGTCACGCTCAACCTGTCCTCCGTGAGTACACACACACACACACACACACACACACACACACACACACACACACACACACATACGCGCGTGCCCGCGTGAGGAGGGAACGCACGCAGCTGCCGTTGCGGAGCCGCACGCGACCGCGGCTGCTGTGCCATCTGACGCTCGACGCCGTCACGCTCAACCTGTCCTCCGTGAGTACACACACACACACACACACACACACACACACACACACACACACACCCAAACGCGTGCGCCCGTGACGTATTTCCGTTTCATTTTATAAAACAAGATTAGTATTTTGATTACAATTATCTATAGAAAGAAACGTGATTATTGACGATCTAATGTATAGTTTTCTTGTTTGTTGGGCGGTGCAGTGGCAGTACTCGGGCTTGGTGGGGTGCGTGACGGGTCTGGCTCGCACGGGTCGCCTGCGGGAGTTCCGCGCGCTGCGGCCGCCCGTCGCCCTGCGCGCCGCGCCCCGCCTGTGGTGGCTGTACGCGCTGCGCTGCCATCTGGCCGCGCACCCGCGTCAGTATACTGCATTATATACATACCTATATAGCGGGAGTTCCGCGCGCTGCGGCCGCCCGTCGCCCTGCGCGCCGCGCCCCGCCTGTGGTGGCTGTACGCGCTGCGCTGCCATCTGGCCGCGCACCCGCGTCAGTATACTGCATTATATACATACCTATATAGCGGGAGTTCCGCGCGCTGCGGCCGCCCGTCGCCCTGCGCGCCGCGCCCCGCCTGTGGTGGCTGTACGCGCTGCGCTGCCATCTGGCCGCGCACCCGCGTCAGTATACTGCATTATATACATACCTATATAGCGGGAGTTCCGCGCGCTGCGGCCGCCCGTCGCCCTGCGCGCCGCGCCCCGCCTGTGGTGGCTGTACGCGCTGCGCTGCCATCTGGCCGCGCACCCGCGTCAGTATACTGCATTATATACATACCTATATAGCGGGAGTTCCGCGCGCTGCGGCCGCCCGTCGCCCTGCGCGCCGCGCCCCGCCTGTGGTGGCTGTACGCGCTGCGCTGCCATCTGGCCGCGCACCCGCGTCAGTATACTGCATTATATACATACCTATATAGCGGGAGTTCCGCGCGCTGCGGCCGCCCGTCGCCCTGCGCGCCGCGCCCCGCCTGTGGTGGCTGTACGCGCTGCGCTGCCATCTGGCCGCGCACCCGCGTCAGTATACTGCATTATATACATACCTATATAGCGGGAGTTCCGCGCGCTGCGGCCGCCCGTCGCCCTGCGCGCCGCGCCCCGCCTGTGGTGGCTGTACGCGCTGCGCTGCCATCTGGCCGCGCACCCGCGTCAGTATACTGCATTATATACATACCTATATAGCGGGAGTTCCGCGCGCTGCGGCCGCCCGTCGCCCTGCGCGCCGCGCCCCGCCTGTGGTGGCTGTACGCGCTGCGCTGCCATCTGGCCGCGCACCCGCGTCAGTATACTGCATTATATACATACCTATATAGCGGGAGTTCCGCGCGCTGCGGCCGCCCGTCGCCCTGCGCGCCGCGCCCCGCCTGTGGTGGCTGTACGCGCTGCGCTGCCATCTGGCCGCGCACCCGCGTCAGTATACTGCATTATATACATACCTATATAGCGGGAGTTCCGCGCGCTGCGGCCGCCCGTCGCCCTGCGCGCCGCGCCCCGCCTGTGGTGGCTGTACGCGCTGCGCTGCCATCTGGCCGCGCACCCGCGTCAGTATACTGCATTATATACATACCTATATAGCGGGAGTTCCGCGCGCTGCGGCCGCCCGTCGCCCTGCGCGCCGCGCCCCGCCTGTGGTGGCTGTACGCGCTGCGCTGCCATCTGGCCGCGCACCCGCGTCAGTATACTGCATTATATACATACCTATATAGCGGGAGTTCCGCGCGCTGCGGCCGCCCGTCGCCCTGCGCGCCGCGCCCCGCCTGTGGTGGCTGTACGCGCTGCGCTGCCATCTGGCCGCGCACCCGCGTCAGTATACTGCATTATATACATACCTATATAGCGGGAGTTCCGCGCGCTGCGGCCGCCCGTCGCCCTGCGCGCCGCGCCCCGCCTGTGGTGGCTGTACGCGCTGCGCTGCCATCTGGCCGCGCACCCGCGTCAGTATACTGCATTATATACATACCTATATAGCGGGAGTTCCGCGCGCTGCGGCCGCCCGTCGCCCTGCGCGCCGCGCCCCGCCTGTGGTGGCTGTACGCGCTGCGCTGCCATCTGGCCGCGCACCCGCGTCAGTATACTGCATTATATACATACCTATATAGCGGGAGTTCCGCGCGCTGCGGCCGCCCGTCGCCCTGCGCGCCGCGCCCCGCCTGTGGTGGCTGTACGCGCTGCGCTGCCATCTGGCCGCGCACCCGCGTCAGTATACTGCATTATATACATACCTATATAGCGGGAGTTCCGCGCGCTGCGGCCGCCCGTCGCCCTGCGCGCCGCGCCCCGCCTGTGGTGGCTGTACGCGCTGCGCTGCCATCTGGCCGCGCACCCGCGTCAGTATACTGCATTATATACATACCTATATAGCGGGAGTTCCGCGCGCTGCGGCCGCCCGTCGCCCTGCGCGCCGCGCCCCGCCTGTGGTGGCTGTACGCGCTGCGCTGCCATCTGGCCGCGCACCCGCGTCAGTATACTGCATTATATACATACCTATATAGCGGGAGTTCCGCGCGCTGCGGCCGCCCGTCGCCCTGCGCGCCGCGCCCCGCCTGTGGTGGCTGTACGCGCTGCGCTGCCATCTGGCCGCGCACCCGCGTCAGTATACTGCATTATATACATACCTATATAGCGGGAGTTCCGCGCGCTGCGGCCGCCCGTCGCCCTGCGCGCCGCGCCCCGCCTGTGGTGGCTGTACGCGCTGCGCTGCCATCTGGCCGCGCACCCGCGTCAGTATACTGCATTATATACATACCTATATAGCGGGAGTTCCGCGCGCTGCGGCCGCCCGTCGCCCTGCGCGCCGCGCCCCGCCTGTGGTGGCTGTACGCGCTGCGCTGCCATCTGGCCGCGCACCCGCGTCAGTATACTGCATTATATACATATGTACCTATATACCGTATTAACTGCGCGGAACCGCACCAAAAATGTCATACGATACATACGTTCTGCTTTCAAACAATCCAACATTATAGTCACGGAAACGTTGCGCGTTTTGCAACATGCCTGTTTTTTTGCGTGACACGAATTAGAAAATGATATGGAAGCATTACTCTCTACCAAAAGCCCGCTAAAACATGCACCAATCTGCACCGGATACTCCTCCTTTGTGTTATATCCATATCGAAGACTTTTAACCTGCAGTTTGGACATTGAAGATCCGTGTTTTGAAGTAATAAACTGATGGGGAGGAGCTCAATGGCGCAAGTGGTTAGCGCTCTCGGCTGCAATCGTTGAAACTAAGCAACTTTCGCAGTGGTCGTTTATTGGATAGGTGACCACAAATTTACTATCCCGAGCTCCTCTATGCTTCGAAAGGCACGTGAAGCCTAGCTAGCACCCACAGATACTCACTGGGCCAATTCCATCCATGGGAAAGGCATTTGCCCCAACAGTGGGTACATTAATAGGCTGATGATGATGAATAAGCTAATGATGACCAGTGGCGGACTAACAGGGGGGCGGAAGGGGCGGCCCCGGGCCTCCGATCTTGGGGGGCCCCCAAATGCCTCCGCGTTCCCCTGATCAAATCCTAAACTAGACTTTAAAAATGTGCTTAGTACCTACATAATTTCATCAAGATCAAAACACTACAGCCATCTAGACTTTTACGCGGTACTAATATTATTTTAACTTCGCTGAACGCGTCCAATACGCTGGGGGAATTCCCGTCTCTGTAGCGGGTACTCCCTCATGTATCCCTTGAATGAATGATGTACAAATAATTCACTTTTGTACGCCTACATTTAATAACATTCACTATATTTACGTCGAAAAATAAACATTGGCCTCATTTAAAATCCGTTCAAAGTAACCTCATTAAAAAGTGTAATAGTCTTTTTGATTTTTTCGTTGCGGTATAAAAGTTTTTTTAAAGCTGGGGGGGCTCATTCAGCTTTGCCGCATTGAAAAGTGTAATAGTCTTTTTGATTTTTTTGTTGCGGTATAAAAGTTTTTTTAAAGCTGGGGGGGCTCATTCAGCTTTGCCGCATTGAAAAGTGTAATAGTCTTTTTGATTTTTTTTGTTGCGGTATAAAAGTTTTTTTAAAGCTGGGGGGGCTCATTCAGCTTTGCCGCCCCGGGCCTCTGACGAGCTTAGTCCGCCACTGATGATGACCCTTGTTTTATACAGTCACAGAACCTAAACCGACTTGGGAGTCGTGTTTAGAACGCGCGCGAGCCGTCCGCCAGTACGTGGAGATATGTGTGGGGTTATTGTCTGCGCCTGCTGCAGCGCTGGCTCCTGAACGAAAACGGGCCAAGGACGACTTCGAGTGGAACACGCCGCTGCACATACTGAAGGCCCTGAGGGAGGTGAGACATTACCCACAGTGACTTACAGTGTTTGCGAGTACGAGGAGATATGTGTGGGGTTTTTCTCTGCGCCTGCTGCAGCGCTTCCACCTGGAGGGAAGCTGGCTAGCGACGACTTTGAGTTGAAGACGCCGCAGAACATACTGAAGGTCCTGAGGGAGGTAAGACATTGCCCACGGTGACTTACAGTGTCCGCGAGTACGTGGAGATATGTGTGGGGTTATTTTCTGCGCCTGCTGCAGCGCTGGCACCTGGAGGGAAGCTGGCTAGCGACGACTTAGAGCTGAAGACGCCGCAGAACATACTGAAGGTCCTCAGGGAGGTAAGACATTGCCCACGGTGACTTACAGTGTCCGCGAGTACGTGGAGATATGTGTAAGGTTATTATCTGCGCCTGCTGCAGCGCTGGCACCTGGAACGAAGCTGGCTAGCGACGACTTTGAGTTGAAGATGCTGCAGAACATACTCAAGGCCCTGAGGGAGGTAAGACATTGCCCACGGTGACTTACAGTGTCCGCGAGTACGTGGAGATATGTGTGTGGTTATTTTCTGCGCCTGCTGCAGCGCTGGCACCTGGAGGGAAGCTGGCCAGCGATGACTTTGAGTTGAAGACGCCGCTGAACATACTGAAGGCCCTGAGGGAGGTGAGACATTACCCATAGTGACTTACAGTGTTTGCGAGTACGTGGAGATATGTGTGGGGTTATTCTCTGCGCCTGCTGCAGCGCTGCCACCTGGAGGAAAGTTGGCTTGCGATGACTTTGAGTTGAAGACGCCGCTGCACATACGGAAGGCTCCGACGGAGGTGAGACATTTATCTTATCATTGTTTTCAAGTGAAGTCGTCGCGAAAATACAAATAAAAATTTCTTTGGTTTTAACAAAAAAAAAATTGAACCATTTCTCAAAATGGCGATCAGTATTACCCGCACCACATTTATATTAAATCCATATTACAAACCAAAATTCCAAGAAGATTACTAATTTCCGAGATTTAACATGCTGTCGTTAGTCACTCAAAAAAGTACCTTTATTCCATATTAAGTGAGGCATGTATAAAGTATAAATTATAGATTCTTGTACCCTTTGGGTAGTCAACAAAGTCATGGCTGGACCGTCACAAAGACGTTTTTCCTTTGTATGACGGAAACCTTGACCAAATTGTCGCCCCGCAGTTTTGTTCTTGTTTACAAATCACAACACATCGCACAAAACTTATAATAGTAGGTATCTCGCAACGGACTTGCAAAACTCATAAAAATGGGTAGTTAATGGGCAGCCAGTTAGTAAAAACAAGGTCCTTTTGGTTATATATTTTTTTCTAAAGCATGTAACTGCTTGATATTTAAATATTGAATCAGCAGACGGGGCTCGAACCCGCACCCTTCGCAATCCGGGCGAATGCACTGACCAATTATGCTATCGCGGCCCTCACGGACCGCGTCGAAATTCCTCTAGCCATTCTTAAGCTGCAAGGCAGCGCCATCTTCGCATTAAGGTCCTTTTGAATAGATCATTGGTCAATAGATAAAAGGCGGCGCCTCCCAACCGCACTCGACTCATACGAGCAAAACGCTTTTTGAAGCGGATTAAGCTATGACTTTGTCGGTGGTACGTAATCAGATTCCTCAAATATTTACTCATAAACTACGGTCTGAGCTAAACTATAATAATAATAATATTTCCAACACTCACACCAATTAGCCTAGCCCCAAAGTAAGCACTGTAAGGCTTGTGTTATGGGATACTAGGGTAACGGATAGAATACATATACTGTACATATATAAGTATATTTATTTAGAAATACATATTAAACATCCATGACTGGAGTACAAATGTTCGTATTCATCACACAAACATCTGCCCCCACCGGGATTCGAACCCGGGACCTCTCGAATATGCGACACCATGAAACCCGGCGTACAAACGACTCGGCCACGGAGGTCGTCAAAAAAAAAACTGTCTGCAACACAAGTATTATGCGATTCAACAATGAAAACATACTAGCATCTTTGATTTTTTTCTCACAGGTGGCAATGAGAAAAGTGCCCAAATTAACTCCGGCATCGACGCCGGACAAGCCGGGAGGATCGGGGCGCAGCATGTTGGTCCACTGGTTTCCGCAGTGGTGGGGGTGGTACGGCAACCAGGACGCCACGCCCCCCTCCCCCGCCCCCCCCCCCCCCCCCCCCCCTCCCCCGCCCCCTCCACTGCAGCGCCGGCCCCCGCCCCCTCCCCTGAACTAGAAGAGGAGATTCTAGACGTTCTCGCCGATTCCATTGAGAACAACACTTTGCTGAAAAGGGACACGGTGTTTGGCAAGTTCGAGTTTGAACTGTTGAAGGGCAGCCTCAATTTGTGCACTCAAGAGGAGACCGAGCTTGCAGCGTTAGTATATTATACGCTAATTTTTAAAATGTAACTTATTACATCGCCCCAAGATTTTTTCCTCTTTAGCATGTCGCGTTACGTCTTTAATGGTTATTAGAGAATTCATATCTTATCGATAAGCATGGTTTAGTCGTTTAAAGCTTGTCTACCACGCGGGCGGCCCGGGTTCCAATCCCAGCCGAGGAAGGACTTTTTTTTATTTTCCACTTTTTATAAGACATCGTAACATCAACTAGTTAAGTCAAGGTACTTGGCATGCATTATCTCTTTGATTTCGAACATTTTCAGTTAATTGCCTACGGTGCGATGTAAGTATGAAAGTTAGAAGTATCAATATACCACACCAATTTTTCATTTAACTAATACAATGATTGATTAATTGTTTACACTAAAAGCAACATTACCATTATAATATTTATTTTTAAGCATGTATCTGCTAGATGTTTAAATCTAAAGAAAATATAACTAGAAAAAAATCCACGCGGACCAGGCAGCAGACGGGACTCGAACCCGCACCCTTCGCTGTCCGGGCTAATGCACTGACCAATTATGCTACCGCGGCCAGAAATTCTTCTAGCCATTCTTAAGCTGCAATGCAGCGCCATCTCTTCGCATTGTAGGTAGCCCACAATGGCAAATGAATACTTTTACAAATATTAAACATTTAAAAGAAGAAAAAGCAATTATAGTTTTAATATTTATTTTTTAAGTATGTAATTGCTTGATGTTTAAATCTAAAAAAAATATAACTAGAAAAAAACCTACCTACCTTACGTTACCTACAATGCGAAGAGATGGCGCTGCATTTCAGCTTAAGAATGGCTAAAAGAATAAATCAATAAATCTAATTGTCCAGAGTATTAGGATAAACAAACATATAAAAAGTATACTACTTTTTTGTTATATATTTAAACATATTATAGATGATAGAGATGTTATTACACTAAGACACAGAACAAATACTCGTGCTCATCACACAAATATTTGTACTAGGCAAAATAATAAATTTAATGAGATTTTGCAATAATTTATTAATCACCAGTATTTTTGATAACTAAAATAATAAATAAACAATGTTCTAGCATAAAATCGATTATAGCTTTTAAATCGAACGAGTTGTGTGATAGGGTGTCACTATTTATACTTCGATCGATCTGTCAAAAAGATAAAAATATAATGGACAGACTATAGTTCTTCGATGTTGCTTTGGCTTATAAACACTGAGAAATATTTCCTTTTATATTTACTTGTCTTAAGCGTATATCTCGGTGGTTCGTGGATCGTTTTTGATGTTTTGCTGTTGATCTAACAGCGAGGATAAGTCCGCCGAAGCCCCAGGCATGGAGCTGCAGTTCTCCTGTGTCCGCGTGTGTGTGGAGTCTCGACCGCGGGGCAGTTCGCACGCGCTGCACGTGTCTCTGGGGGCTCTCTGTGTACGAGAACGGCTCACACCTAACACGCTGTTCCCGGTACTGGTGGCGCCGCAGGTAATCAATCATAATCTGGTTACGAATATTTAAATACGTGACACGTTTGTTTCTTATTTCTTATATATTATTATTTCTCCAAGCTATTCGTCTCTGGAACGATCTTCCGGAGAGTGTGAGAAAAGCACCCAGTAAACCTGCTTTCAAGGTCCTCGTACGTCGGCATTTCGCTAAGAAGTCATAACAATTTCAATTTCTAAGTATATTATAATCAAACTGTGGTCAATCCGCCTAATATTAATATTATTTTTATTATATTTTATTATTATTTGTATTTTGTTTTATTATAGTATTGTTAAGTAAGTATAGAGGTATTTATTATTGTATATATTTAGGTATTTATCGTATATATAAATATGTATGTATATATATGTAGTTATGTAAGTATATTTATAGATGTTATGTATTATAATTTTATATTAAGTATCATGTAGTTTTATCAATTTTTTTTTTCCTTTCACCTTTTGCTTTTATTTACTTTACCGCATAATTGTCTCTGCTTAGCCCGATGGTTGACTGGTAGAGAATGCCATGTGGCATTAAGTCCGCCATTTGTTGTAAATAACAATAAAGAGTAAATAAAATAAATAAATAAATACATTTGTTTCTTACGATCAGGCGCGGCGAGGGCTTTTACCCTTATGTTGTCAAAGTTCCTCCCATTCGCACGAAGCGATTTGCTTCTGCTTTCATTATGCGAACGGCTTTCGAAATTCGAATTGTTCATGTAAATAAAAATGTATACTTTTTAGAATTTTCGCTTGGTCGCTTAAAGAAGACCGTGTTGCAGTTATTGCGTTGCATCGTTGCGGTTACGCGCCAATTCAAATTTTTGACATACTGAAAATTTTGAATATAACCAAAAGATTCGTTTATCGTACTATCAAACGATACAATGAAGACTCTAGTGTAGATGACAGGTCAAGAAGTGGTCGCCCTCGGTCTGTTAGGACTCCAGCAGTGATAAAAGCTGTGAAGGCGCGAATTCAAAGAAATCCCAAACGTAAGCAGAAACTGTTGGCCCTTCAAATGGGGTTAAGCAGAACCACGGTGAAAAGGGTGTTAAATGAAGACTTAGGGCTTCGGGCATATCGAAGAAAAACAGGACATCGTTTGAATGCTCGTCTAATGGACCTGAGACTGAAGAGATGCCGCGCTTTGTTGAATCGTTAAGCGGTACGCGGGAAAATTCTTTTTTCGGATGAAAAAATTTTTACCGTAGAAGAGAGCTACAACAAACAAAATGATAAGGTGTACGCACACAGTAGTGAAGAAGCGAGCAACCGTATTCCGCGTGTCCAACGAGGTCATTTTCCATCCTCGCTCATGGTATGGTTGGGAGTTTCTTATTGGGGCTTAACTAAACAAAAACTAAAATGTTTGTAAAGTTATCCTAGCCATAGAAGAGATGCCAATGCAATCCGGCTCGAAGGACCACTATTTTGTTGCATTAAACATGGATGCTATTTTTTCCATGAATCCTTTTTAGTATTTGAGTTTTCTATTTTAAAATCTTTAAATAAATGTGTAGGAACATGGCCAAATCAGTAGGGTTATTCAAGTTTGTCTATGACGTGGATTGGCGGGCGAAAAGATGTCAATTCAATGAAATATACAGCACTGTGGTTTGAATATGACTTCTTGATGATTTGCATTAGAGTGACCTAATGCCAGATTGTTTGAAAGCCAATGATATTTAATACCCTAGATACATCACGAGCGCTCAAAATTTGTCCCAATCAAGAAGTGCTTGAACTCCACTGAAGCACTTCTTGGTTCACAGTCACACGCGAACCGTTACAAAGTCAAGATGCCACAAGGCTCCATGAAAATATGCGAAAATAATATTTAGAGTACGAAAAGTGTCGTTTTTTCGACAGGTATCTAATCAACGTTTGTTAATTTAACGCATTTGAAGCAAATTTTGTTGTAATACTTACTATAAACTGATTTAATATAAAATATTTGTGATATTCAAATGCGTGGTCGGTTATACATCGCCGTATAGCCGTCTCTTTTCCTCGCGGTCAGTACTTGCTATATTGCTAACAGCTCATTCAGAATTGCGCGTAGAGTCAAAAGAATAAGGTCTATATTCTTCCGCATATAGCAATAAGTCGTAAAATTTTACGAGCTTGCATTTCAGACTGTCAGAAGTCTTTGAAGCATGCTTTCTAATGAGGACCTTACACAGTATGCATTAAGGGTGACTTTCAATGTTTAAATAATGCCTTATATCGTTTTTGACCACGCGATCATCTTACGGAGCTCCGTTATCGTACAATGTACCTTTAGGACACGTTTCGGCCACGATTTTGTTCGTGTTGGTGTATCTAGGGTATTTAATATCGTTGTTGAAAGCAGTCAATGTGTGCGTGTAACTATAGAAAGCTCTTTTGAATCGTCCAATAACTTATAGCTATATTTATAGCGATAAGCATTCCATTTTTGGGCCTCTGCGCGGAAAAGACCGTGCAACTAATATGGTATCTAGACGTGTATAAAGCCTTTCATGGAAGCTGCGTGTTAACAATGAAGTTTGTTATTAAACAGGGCATGATCCGCGAAGGCCTGAGCGCCATGAACGCGGCGGCGGCGGCCGCGTGGTGGGGGCGTGCGCACGCGCCGCCGCCCGCGCCCGAACCGCTGTTCCAACTCACCTACGAGAAGAAACCGTTCAACGTCAACGCTGATTACAAGTGAGGCTACAGTTATGTTTGAATTTCAATTTAGTGTTTATTTATTTAATTGTAGCAATAATAGCCTTTATCCTGTCTTTACCTTCTTTTTAAAAAACAGCAAGTGAAGGCAACACTTTCAGACCAGGTAACTTTAGTCAACGTTTGTTAAGCCGGTTAGTGTTTGTTTCATTTGGAAAAAAATGTTTTCGGTCCCTGTTAAAATTTGTTAATTTTTACGATATTTATCTTTCTTCAGCGGGAATGTTTAAGAGTTTTCGATGTTCGTAGGTTATGGGTGAAGTGCGCGTCGCTTGAGGTGGTTTACTGCGCAGCGGCAGCACGTTGGGCGCAGCAGTTCGCGTGCGCGCCGTGGGAGGCCGCGCGCGCGCTCGACTACGCGCACGTGCGCAGCCACACGCGCGCCACGATCTCCCGACACTGGGCGCACATGATGCGCGCCAGCCCGGTACGTGTGTCTGTCTGTCTGTCTGTCTGTCTGTCTGTCTGTCACTCACGCACGTGGGAGGCCGCGCGCGCGCTCGACTACGCGCACGTGCGCAGCCACACGCGCGCCACGATCTCCCGACACTGGGCGCACATGATGCGCGCCAGCCCGGTACGTGTGTCTGTCTGTCTGTCTGTCTGTCTGTCTGTCTGTCACTCACGCACGTGGGAGGCCGCGCGCGCGCTCGACTACGCGCACGTGCGCAGCCACACGCGCGCCACGATCTCCCGACACTGGGCGCACATGATGCGCGCCAGCCCGGTACGTGTGTCTGTCTGTCTGTCTGTCTGTCTGTCTGTCTGTCACTCACGCACGTGGGAGGCCGCGCGCGCGCTCGACTACGCGCACGTGCGCAGCCACACGCGCGCCACGATCTCCCGACACTGGGCGCACATGATGCGCGCCAGCCCGGTACGTGTGTCTGTCTGTCTGTCTGTCTGTCTGTCTGTCTGTCACTCACGCACGTGGGAGGCCGCGCGCGCGCTCGACTACGCGCACGTGCGCAGCCACACGCGCGCCACGATCTCCCGACACTGGGCGCACATGATGCGCGCCAGCCCGGTACGTGTGTCTGTCTGTCTGTCTGTCTGTCTGTCTGTCACTCACGCACGTGGGAGGCCGCGCGCGCGCTCGACTACGCGCACGTGCGCAGCCACACGCGCGCCACGATCTCCCGACACTGGGCGCACATGATGCGCGCCAGCCCGGTACGTGTGTCTGTCTGTCTGTCTGTCTGTCTGTCTGTCACTCACGCACGTGGGAGGCCGCGCGCGCGCTCGACTACGCGCACGTGCGCAGCCACACGCGCGCCACGATCTCCCGACACTGGGCGCACATGATGCGCGCCAGCCCGGTACGTGTGTCTGTCTGTCTGTCTGTCTGTCTGTCTGTCTGTCACTCACGCACGTGGGAGGCCGCGCGCGCGCTCGACTACGCGCACGTGCGCAGCCACACGCGCGCCACGATCTCCCGACACTGGGCGCACATGATGCGCGCCAGCCCGGTACGTGTGTCTGTCTGTCTGTCTGTCTGTCACTCACGCACGTGGGAGGCGACATAACTAAAATGACACCAACTAATTAATAACAATAATTTTTCCAAATTTATTTTCAACTAGCTTTACCCTGTGGTGTTACCTGCGGTTTATTAGGGATATTTTCCCTCAGTAAAACGTAGCCTATGTGCTAATCCAGGGTTTCAGCTAACTCCATACCAAATTTTATTAAAATCACTCCAGCCGTTTAGACGTGAAGAAGTAACATACATACACACTCATAAACTTTCGCCTTTAAAATATAACTGTGATATTAAATGAATTTTTATATTGATACTAGCTGACCCAGCGAACTTCGTACCGCCATAAAGATAGGGGCAGGTGGTAGAAGAAAAAATTTATAACATATATATTGTCCAAAAAAAATTTTAGGGGTGTGTAACGTAGTGTTCTATCAATTTCCTCGGATAACATTCCTCCTAACTCATATGAGAACACTACGTTACAATACCCAATATTTAGAATTTTGGCGCGAAGGCGCATTGTAGGTTTCAGAGCACTACGTTACAGGTGGACAACCATTATCACTTAAGGATATGAAAAATAGATAGTAGCTGATTCTCAGACCCACGGAATATGCAGATAAAATTGCATAAAAATCGGTCAGGCCGTTTCGGAGGAGTATGGTAACTAACATTGTGACACGAGAATTTTATATATAAGACTAGCTGACCCAGCGAACTTCGTACCGCCATAAAAAAAATAGGGGTTGGTGGTAGAAAGTTGAAAATTTAGGGATGTATGTATTTTTGTATGATGTATCATAAAAAAATTTAAAAAAATATATCTAAAATTTAAATAAAAAAAAATTGGGTTGGATTACCCTTAACATTTAGGGGGATGAAAAATAGATGTCCGATTCTCAGACCTACCCAATATGCACACAAAATTTCATGAGAATCAGGAAAGCCGTTTCGGAGGAGTTTAACCACAAACACCGCGACACGAGAATTTTCTATATGTATTAGACTAGCTATCCCAGCGAACTTCGTACCACAATAAAAAAATAGGGGTTGATTGTAAAGGGTTGAAAATTCAGGTTTATATGTATTTACTAATGCTTTATCATAAAAAAAAAATTATCTAAAATTGAAAAAAAAAATTTAGGGGTGGATTACCCTTAACATTTAGGGGGATGAAAAATAGATGTTGTCCGATTCTCAGACCTACCCAATATGCACACAAAATTTCATGCGAATCGAGAAAGCCGTTACAGAGGAGTTTAACCACAAACACCGCGACACGAGAATTTTATATATTAGATTTTAATTCAAACATTGTACACTATAGGGCGAACGTCGTTCGTGGCAAGTGGAGCTGGACATATCGGCGCCGCAGATTTTGTTCGTGGAAAACCTTTGCGATCGTGATGCTGCTGTGCTGGTGGTAGACTTCGGCCGGCTGCGACTATCTGATGCCAACACGCATCCTGCTTCCACCGCCGAGCCTCAAAGTGACGCCCCTGACCCCGCCCTTACTGACGACGAAGGTAATATTTCATCATCAGCCAATTAATGGTCCACACAGCTGGGCACAGGCCTTCCCTATGGATGGAATAGGGAGATTGGGTCATGTCCCACCCACGCGGGCCCTGTGGCTAACGACTGCAGATGCAGCCGGCTTAACGTGCCTTCCGAAGCACGGAGGAAGTCGGGATAGAAGATTTTTGGTCACCCATCCAATGACCGACCACTCGAAAGTTGCTTAACTTCAACGATCGCAGCCGAACGCGCTAACCACCCTCGCCATCGAGCTGCTCAGGTAATATTTATTTTGTGGAATAGCTAGTAGATTCTCTTTTCCCCGATTTTGGACGTTGGATAAGGGTGTTCAGAAAACTTTACGCCGCCAGTTGGCGCCACTGCTAGGTCATGGGGTTTTTTTTGTATAAATCTTTTGGCGCGAATTAATCGAGTATTTTAATTAATGCATAGACTATAACGACATGCGTGATGGGACTCCTGAGTTGACCTTTCGGCTCAGTGCTGCCACTTCATTCCAGAAATACGTCATTGATCTGTAATAGGGTATTTGACAGTATTAAAAATAAAGTGCCAATTGTTACCATCTGTGTTTACAATGAATATTGGCAGGGGTTTTTACTATTTTACAAAAAAATATTCATAATTTTGCTAAAAACCACGAAGAAGATAATAGTTTTCTTATCTATTGTCACGTGACCCAAAACGATTGGGATTGGCGGAGCCTAAAATGACGTCACACGTAAGTAAACTTCCGGTTAAAGTGACATTACATTGTATCGTTTGACGTTTTGATAACATGTCGTGTGACGTTACACACTAGTAAGACGCCATATTGTCCAGAAAAACGTTTTCGCGGAAACTTGAAAATAGAGTTTTTGATTTGGTTATTTTTACTGAATTACACAACAGAATGACGAATATCCACTTTTTACGGACTCCATAAACATTAGTCAATAATGTGAGATCGTTTTATAAAACTTGTCAAATACCCTATTGCGAAGATAAAAGAAATTAGTTGCTACTAAGATTCTAGGGCTTCACGACACTGGAATGTACAGGGAACTGGAGACACGACACCGGAACCATTTTTTTTCCGTGTAGATATTAACTTACACCTTACAAAACATGTAATTAATGGAATCAACTCACGTTTTTGTGTCAACGCCGTTTGTCATTGAAATAAAAAAAATATGTTCATAATCATTATTATGTTGTATTCTTGATATTTACCGTGTCGTGTCGATAATAGACACCGCGACATAACCACGGCGTGGTGTCGTAAACGTAAAACGTATAACCAGTTTATAACTTATAACCTTAGAAACTCGAGTCTCTACAATTACGCCGCGATGTGGCATCATTAAGCGCATTTTATCGTCTATACCACGGCGAGTGTTCTGAGGAGTTATTCTCCCTTATCCCTCCATCACCTTTTCTTCAGAGGACCACGCGCGCTGGCCTACGTTGCCACCGACTTACTGTGGCCACTTTTCCTACACGAACAAACTACGTTTGGTGACTCATTTCTTTGTCGTACTATTCGTAAGTGGAATTCTTTACCCGCGCAAGTGTTCCCTCCTTCCTATTATCCGGGGTCCTTTAAGAGAGGCGTGAAGAAGCATTTTTGCAGGCCGGCAAGGTGAGGATGATTGGTATAGCAGTTTATAACTGCTGTACTAGCTAGCTATCTTCGCGTTTGGACTTTATTACCACTTAACATCAGGTGGGGTAGAGTCATTTGCCTACCTTCATATAAGAAAAAAAAAACGTATATCTGCATTCTGCAGATATAAATATTTTATGTATGAAAATCAATTCTTTAGTGATACGAATCAAGGAGCAATCCGTCAAGAACGTCTGTATGGAATAAACATGCCGCGCCTATCCTCTTAAGAGCCCTTTTACAAAATTGCGCCGTTGCCGTACTGATCGACGCGTAGGTAGATTTGCACTAGTATATATTGCATTTTACGGGAGATGTTTCGAGTCTTATAAAATAATTATAAATAAACTAATTATAAAAATATTTACATACTTCAGTAGTTCAATGATGGTAGATTAGTTTTATGAAAGTTTTTGATAGTAATTCTATTAAATTCAATATCAAAATAGCAGGTAAACTTGCATTGTTTTTTGGGAAAACTCACGGAAGTTAGATGTTTTTTTGATAATTAATGAGACGGAAAATCAAAATTCTAATACATTATGTTACAACAAAAACATATTTCTAATGTCGTAGTAATTAATTTGATCTAATTTATTGATCAAGAGATTCAGGCGTTTGAAGTTGTGCATCGTTATTTCCGTAAACCAGCTGCAGTAGAACGATCAGTACAAAAAAAGGAAAATAGTATTTGCAAATATTCTGCATTAACCTACAATAGGAAGAATAAATCTACTGTTTACTTCTATTGGAAATAGTCAAAATCTTTTGTGAGGGGGTAAACGAGGCGCTCAAAAATTACGATTTTTTGCAAAAAATGTGAAAGGGCTCTTAATGACGCCGCAGCATGTCCATATGGCCAGACTCCCACCCCATAGATAGGTAATCATAATCATTTATTTCGTAATAAATTACACGTCAATAATAAACAGAACAGAAAATACATAAAGTACTAAGCAATCATTCAATTAATTCAATATTTCAAATTATATAAAAGTACATTACGGAGTCAAAACAATTAAAATACAATATTTTTACTTAGAAAAAAATCAAAATGTCAAATACAAATATGTCAAAATACAAATGTCAAGTAGAAATAATAAAACAAAAAATAAAATGAATTAATAAATTAATTATCTCTAAATATTATATAAAAAAAAAAAATTAGTCCAATTAATGTAAGGATCTATCATTTAAAAATTCATGGACACTATAAAAGGTTCTGTCAATGAGCCATAATTTTAATTTGTGTTTAAAATTATTAAGCGACTTGGCGTCAGTGACCAACTTAGGTAACAAGTTATATTAATATAACTTGTATCTCCCATAGAAACATTCATGACCCCGTGCTCAACGCCGCCGGGCAGCTTGCTCTCGCCATCGTCTCCGCCCGCGCCTGCGTGCGCGCATTCGCACTCGCATGCACTAGACGCGACGCGATTCCACTACAGCCTCTACGACAGGTGTGATATATTTCTATTCTTTACCTTTGATAAAGTGCCCGAAAAAACATGTTTTTTTATTTATTTATAATAAAGTGCCCGAAATTAACATGCTTTTTTATTTTTCTATAATGAGTAACTGCTATTTGTGGGTGGCGGTTGCGGTTGCGTTATCAATCATGTATATTTTGAATTTAAATGATTTTTTAGGCTGAAATGAATTGCTTCGCTTTTTTTTGCATTGCTTTGCTTGCTGTTATAGTGTTGTGTTTTTGATTGACTTTTTTTCATCTTAATTTTTTGTTACTTGAAAGCAAAGGATGTTAAGTCCATACATCCTTTCAAGTAATAAAATTTTATTTTTACATGTCTTTTTTTTTTGTGTCACTGAACAGGCCCTGCCAGAATAACAGCGCTGGTGCGACACAATATCGCATCAGCTAATGCTGAGGCAGGGTCCTGGTTAGCCCTGAGGTTTTTTTTTATTTATATCTGTAATGTGTAATATCTGGGTTAATAAATTATATTCTATTCTATTTAGGTTTGTAAGTGTACGGGTTTAGCCGCACATTAAACTCATAATAAGCAGGTTAACGCGTCAGCAATATGACCCGCTGCGCGACTTATTACTTTATAATTTATTAATCATTGTTTCGTAATAATAACATATTGAAATTAGTGTCTATCCGGTAGCCTTACCAACCGCGCGTACTCACTCTTATCTTTTCACCATACGTAAACCATTCTTTCACCATACTTTAACTTTAGTTTCCCTGTTTATAGACTTTGTTATAGTAGTGTAAATTATCTCAATAAACTCTCAGTAATTGTTTCCAGTGACTTTCTATTTACCAATCTCTTCTCTAAAGGTGTATAACCCATACAGTAAGGCTAACTTTGTTTGGTAAAGTCACTGTTACTGTTTGTACTTATGAGGCCTTACTACGAAACGTAGATTAAAGAAAACCGGGACTTACATTGATGCTTTCTCTTTTGTTTGCTAAACACAAGACAAAGACAACATCAGGCTTAACCCGAGACTAACTTTAGTCTGTCATTTGTAGTAATGGGGATAAAGTGTATACTTTTTTATTCTGCCCGACAAATATCGGATATAGTTTAGTTATTTGATGCTGCTTATTTCCTTAGTCGAGTTAATTAACATGAATATTACCTTAATATTTCCTGTTTGTTTCTTAGGTTTTCACGCACATCACTCATTAAATAAAACTAGTTTTTACGGGTTAATGCACGAAACTTTATTTATTTATTGACGTTTCGTAGCCTTTACAGGCTTCGTCGTCAGAATAAAACTTATTTAATTTGTCGAGATTCCTTCGAAAGGATCTTATTGGCGGTTTCCAGCCCGTACTGATTAACATATTTCTTTCTTAGGTTTTCACGCACATCACTCATAAAATAAAACTAGTTTTTACGGGTTAATGCACGAAACTTTATTTACTTATTGACTTTCGAAGGTAGCTCGACAAATTAAATAAAAGATTTATTCTGACGACGAAGCCTGTAAAGGCTACGAAACGTCAATAAATAAATAAAGTTTCGTGCATTAACCCGTAAAAACTAGTTTTATTTAATATTTCCTGCCTTATTTGATTAGTTACGTTTGTTATTGTTAAGCTAAGCATGAGGTTTGAAAATAAGTCTACTCGTACTATCTTTTGCATTGTGCTAGCAAATAACAATTGAGAAATCAATCGAGATAGAAAGATGCGTTTTTGACAATTTTCTTCACCCAAGTGTGTTCCTTTCAATGACATAAAAATAATGGTTCAAGCTATTGTTTGTACGCCTCTGTATAGATACAAGATAGAGCTGAGCGATCTGCAGATACTGGTAGGCCGCGCGCGTGACAACTGGAAGTATGCGCACACCAAGAGCACCTCCTCGCTACATCTGCTGGACAGGTTCAGCATCTCACTACAGGTAATATTTTCAGATCTCATCAATCTGTGAATGTGAAATATTTTTTAATTGCTTTTATGGCGTGGTCAACTTTGTTGTTATCAACAAAAATAGGATTTCTTACGTTTTGTAATTGTTGTTTTTAAGAATCTGACTTTATAGTCATAAAGTCGTAGTAATAATAGGGTATTTGATAAGTTTTAGAAAACGATCTCACGTTATTTCCTAATGTTTATGGAGTGCGTAAAAAGTGGATATTCATCTTTCTGTTGTGTATTTCAGTAAAAATAACCAAATCAAAAACTCCATTTTCAAGTTGCCGCGAAAACGTTTTTCTGGACAATATGGCGTCTTACTAGTGTGTGACGTCACACGACTGATATTAAAACTTCAAACGATACAATGTAATGTTACTTTAACCGGAAGTTTACTTGCGTGTGACGTCATTTTAGGCTCCGCCAATCCCAAGCGTTTTGGGTCACGTGACAATAGATAAGAAAACTATTATCATTTTCGAGGGGTTTTTAGTAAAACTATGAATATTTTTTTTATAAAAATAGTAAAAACCCCTGCCAATATTAATTCTAAACACAGATGCTAACAATTGGGACTTTATTTTTAATACTGTCAAATACCCTATTTTCCGTCACATTTTTCGCGAAAATTCAAATGAATAAATGTAGATACGTTTTATTTTTTAAATTACTCAACACTTTTTTTAATAACTTTGTCCCGCGGCTTCGATTGCTTGTTACATTTTATTTTATGTGTGAAACTAAGTAAATAAAAAAACTACAAAACTTCTTTATCGACAATTTATTTAAAGGCAATTATTAATCTGGCAATTTTGGTTCTCCATATAAATTTTGAGCCGCCGTTTTACCCCTTTAGAGTGAGTTTTGGAAAATCTTAAGCAGGGTACTCACCTAGAAGTGTAGCATGTAGTGTATCTGATACTGTATCAACCTGCAAGTGAATACGGCTCGTCCACGGTAACTGCGTATCCAGCTACGAGCTCTCGGATCCGCAGTGCTCGTGACGATATCACGCCGATAATATGTATCAATACAATACAATACAAAATTCTTTATTGAAACACCACAGTACAGTACATAAATGGGGTAAATACATTATGTTTAAACAGTGATTCAATGGGCGGTCTTATCGCTAAAAGCGATTTCTTCCAGACAACCTTTGGATGGAGAGGATTGAATGAAATTGGAGTCGGTGGTGTTATAAAAGAAACAAAGGATATAAAAATGTATATAACTATATACATTAAATATATATACATACCATACATACACAATATATACACATAATATTACTATAAGATATATATATATAATATAAATATATGACATATACATACATAGACTACACATATAAAAGTTTAATCCAGTCAGAAAAAAAAGCAATTGCAGTTACATCGACAAATAATGGTTGAAAACAAGTTTTTTGAAAGTATGAATAGATTGTGCTCGTCTTATGGATACTGGAAGAGAATTCCACAGGAGAACAGCTTGGACGGCAAAGGAACGACCATAGAAGGTTGTGTCATGAGTAGGAATTTTTAGGGTTAAATTCTCTGTTGACCTAAGAGATAACGCGGGGACAAAGGATCGAGGAAAGGAGAATCAAATGGTGACTAGTCCATTTCCATAGTTCGTTTGAAGCTCACGCCTACGTACTCACCTACAAGCGGCCATATCACCGTCCACGCGCATACTGCGAGCTAGGGATGAAACGATACGAGTAAATACAAGTAACTACTCGATACTGTTCATTCGATACCAAGTACTTTTAGCATCGATACTTTAGAACTAAGTAACAACTAGTATCGTGAAGTAAGTACTTGTATCGGTACTCGGTCGGTCACACACTGAGAAGTATCAAAAAAACTCGTAGGCAGATTATTTACTCTATGGTAAGGTGTCTAGTTAGAATTTTTAATTCGCGGACGCATCTTTTCTTCTGCTCAGTCAAGGCTGCCAGCCTTGCGTATGATGATTTATATTTATTCCAATTTATTCAGTCATTCATTTATCGCGTGGGGTGAGCCGTTATTTTGTTTTCGTTTAATTAAAACTGTGAATTTTGATATTATAATATCGTTCATCAAAAATTTTCGATACAAGTAAGTATCGATACTTTTCATTCGATACCGAGTAGACATCGATACTTTATGAACGATACAGTATCGACTGAAAATATCGATACCTAGATGTTATTGTTTCATCCTTACTGCGAGCCGCCTTTGTGTTCGCAGTGATACCGTCACTCGGCGGGTCACTGCGAGCTTACTGCGCTCCATACGCGATTGGCTCGCAGCATGCTCATGCCTACCTACTCACTTGATACAGTATCAGATACGTTACATGATACACGGCTAGTTGAGTACGCTCCTTAATGTGTCCCTAAAGCTGTATGTGTACCAAATTTCATCAATCCGAAGAAAATATTACTAGAAAAAATTCCACGTGGACCAGGCAGCAGACGGGACTCAGAATCCTTCGCTATGCGGGCGAATGCACTGACCAATTATGCTAACGCGGCCCTGGTGGCCGTGTCAAATCCTTTATAGCCTTTTTTAAGCTGCAAGGCAACGCCATCTCTTCACATTGTAGGTAACCCACAATTCATCAATCCGTTCAGTGGTTTTATGTATACAGAAGATATAAAAAACGTGTGAATTCGTAGGCGGAGCGTCGCGTTCTGGCCACTAGTGATCCTCTTTACCCGGGCGTGGCACTGCGCGGGTCCCTGCCGGCGCTGGTAGTACACCTCAGCGAGCACAAGCTGGCCGCGCTGCACGCCGTCGCCACGCGCACCTTCGCGAGCGCGCCGCGGTCAGTATACTGCCGGGGGGGGGGGGGGGGGGGGGGGGGGGGGCTCCCGCCTGGCACAGAGCCCGGTGCTGGCCCCCAGTGCAGTGTTTCCACAATGAGGGGAAATTCCCCTTTTAAGGGGAAATTAGGGTCCAGAGGGGAAGAAAAAGGGGAAATTGCGGGAAGTTATGGGTAAAGCCTAGCCTAAAATAATGCGGCACGGAACAAATTTTTTATGGACTATACCGTGGACTAGTGTTGCCGTATAAAAGAAACTGTGGCAACACGTGCAGATTTTATATATTTTATTTATCTGTTATATAATAAGATAGATTAAGACCTTTTTTTATTTAATTACTAACACTAGTGCCAAGTCTAAAAACCACAGCAGAATAATTTTTGAGGGGAAAAATGTCCTAAGTAGGGGAATTCTGAATTGAGGCGTGGGGAAAGGAAATCATTAAAGTGGAAACACTGCCCCAGTGACCCGCTGTACCCGGGCGTGGCACTGCGCGGGTCCCTGCCGGCGCTGGTGGTTCACCTCAGCGAGCACAAGCTGGCCACGCAGCACGCTGTCCTACCTCTAGCACGAACCATTATCGAATTCGAATAGTAAGCGAGTCCGAAATGTCATTATCAAATTTTGCGCCGCAAAGTCCGCAACGAGAACTAAAAATCAGTACACATTTGACAATGATATTTCGGATTCGCGAACTATTCGAATTCCATATTGGTTCGTGCTAAGGGTAAAGATCGGATACTTGTATTCAAATTTGACTTTTCAAAGACTGATTTAGTTATTGGCGACGCAGGTCAGGAGAATCTGCGAGCACGGAGGCGACAGCGGAGGCGGCAGCGGACGAGGACGCGACCGACGCGTCTGAGGCGGAGCACTCCATCAGCGCCAACAACGCAACGCTGTTCATGCTGCAGTTCGACATCGAGCAGATGTCACTGGAGGTATCGATTGATTCATTCAAATTCTTTGGCTCAAATGGTATGCTCCATATTTATGTAAGAAAGAAAGAAAGAAAGAAAGAAAATACATTTATTTTGACACAAACAACGAGACAGCAGATACAAGATTTTGAGAACAAAAAATACAAGAAAAAGAAAAATTATCGTAAACAAACAACACAAAAAAGTAACACACACTAATAACTAATAATAACTGTCGTTACAACTATGATTTATACTGTTGCTATCTCGCGGCTGCGCCAAAACAGGTTGTCAATTCAGCATGTTGTCAGGTTTGTGGGACCTGACGCTGATTTTCAATTGACACCTATAGTTCTCTCGACAACTGACTATCGGCATAACAATATAAGAGAAAAAAAAACAAAAAAACAGAAACACATACTCGCAAAATTATTTAGAAACAATATATCATCTATATCACATTCAATACTATCATACATAAATTATGTGGTTACTAGCGACCCGCCCTCGTTTCGCTTCGGTGTAGAGTTGAAGTGTAGACTACAGTTTTTGTTCTCAGGCTTGTATTATTCACAATGACATTCATCTATGATTTTTCTTATGCCTGCATGCAGTCTCAGCCCGATCGGTTTAAAATTGACAAAGTTTCATACAAACTTTCATTCCCTATTTAATCCCCTTGGGGGTAGAATTGATCAAAATCCTTTCTTAGCGTATGCCTACGTCATAACATCTACCTGCATGCCAAATTTCAGCCCGATCCGTTCAGTGGTTTGGGCTGTGCGTTGATAGATCACTATGTCAGTCAGTCACCTTTGAGTTTTATATATATAGATGTCTCTATTGAGTCTTTTGTTTAATGCGATTTTCCTGTCATGTTTCTAAATACTGTAAATCTTTCAAGTGACAAATTCGTGTGAAATTAATTCAGTATGAAATCAATCGCTTTACGGCGGTTCTTCTGTGAATTATATTGTAGATTTCCAAACAAATGAAATTGACTTTGCAGTTTTTTTTGTTCATTTGAATAAACGTAGAATAAATAAACTGGTAATTATTTCGCGATGACTGCTTTCTGTGTGTTTTTATGTCAGCATGGTTTATTAAGTATTAGCGTTGTAAGAAGTGCTTTATACTCTTACCCCCTTATTAATAAACGTGGAATAAATTTGGATTAGTTACTCCCATGTTTTGTCACTGGAATGACATGTAATTTGAGTGAGATCAACAAAACACGGCGTAGCTAGTTAAAGGTTACTAGCAAACCAGTGAACCAAATGTTCACCAATTAAAAAAAAAATGTATTTAATTAATTGAGAACTTCGGAGATTTTGTGTGGTTTCGTTTGAAATTCGTGATTTCTCGAAAACCGGAAGTGCTACGTTACTCAAATCCGGTTTGTAGTCTTATCAGACTATTCTTAACTTATAACTTAAACATTCTCTTTATCTATCTCTTACGGTTTGGCCGCTGAAACAGCGCCACAGACGGACGGACGGACTTGTCTAATAGATAAGAGATTCCTCGTTTATTAATAAGGGAGTGTATGCATACTCTATTCCCTAAGATTCAGGATTGTCTAGTTTGGCGACTATTTGTATGCATACTCTAATCCCTAAGATACAGGATTGTCTAGTTTGGCGACTATTTTGTAAATCGTACATGGAGGAGCTCGATGGAGCGGGTGGTTAGCGCGTTCGGCTGCGATCGTTGCAGTTGAGCAACTTTCGCAGTGGTCGGTCATTCGATGGGTGACCAAAATTATTCTATCTCGAAATCTATCTCGAAGGCCTGTGCCCAAGCAGTTGGGACATTAATAGGCTGCTTATGATGATGATGCTCCATAGGACGACTTCTGTGGCCGAGTGGTTTGTACGCCGGGTTTCATGGTGTCGCCGACTCGAGAGGTCCCGGGTTCAAATCCCGGTGGGGGCAGATGTTTGTGTGATGAATACGAGCATTTGTACACCAGTCATGGATGTTTAATATGTATTTCTATATAAATATACTTATATATGTACAGTATTTTATCCGTTACCCTAGTATCCCATAACACAAGCCTTATAGTGCTTACTTTAGGGTTAGGCTAATAGGGATGATGACGGGGTACAGTAAACGAAATTCTATTTATTCCGTCAGTTAGATGATCAAAAAATAATGGACACGTATTTTTTCTTTCGGCAATCAACCAAAAAAAGACAAAGTTATAGCGCGTCAAAGTTTGGGAGTAGGGGCTCGTGACGTCTCTTTTGAGTAGAGAAGTAGAGAATTTTCCCTTATAAGTGTACTCAAACGTGACGTCATGCGACTTTTCAAATCAATATATATTTGCAATGTTAATATTATGTGAAAAAAGAAAAAATACGTGTCCAATACTTTTTGATAATCTACCTGATAAACGAAAAAAAAAATTAGTCATCATCCCTATTGGTGTGAGTGTTGGAAATATTTATTATTTATGTATATTTATAGGTCCAATCTCGCGGACGCAGCATCGCCGAGGTGCAGGTGTGCGGTGTGCGGTGCGCAGTAGCAGCCAGGCCGGCCGATCTGTCCCTCTCACTCTCCGTGCATTCATTGCTGCTTGTGGACGCGCTGCAGACTTACGGGCCAGACTTCGAGCTGCTGGTGGCCAGCCACAAGCACCTGGGGTCAGTGCCCTGCCCCTTTGCTTCATGGTCACGTGACGGCAAACGCGCGTGATTGGCCAAAACTGAAATGACGTCACACATTCGTACACTTCCGGCCATAGTTACATAACGCTGTATCGTTTGAAGTTTTAATAACAGCCGTGTGACGTCACACACTAGTGAGACGCCATAATGTCCAGAGGAACGTTTGCGTGGCAATTTGAAAGCTGCATTTTTAATTTAGTTTAACAGAATTAAATATATCCATTCTTTATGGACTCTATAAACATTATTAAATAACGTGAGATCGTTTTTTGAAACTTGTCAAATTATTGGAACTTATTATTTCTTTGTGTTTTTTACTATTTGGTTCTAGTTTTGGTTTATGTAAATTCTAGTATGTCACAGATTACTCTTACTTTATTCAATATTTTTAATTCATTTTACTTGTTTTAATGGCTTTAGATAATAAAAGCATTCAGCCTATGTTGTTATTATTATATATATTTTGTTTTTGTTATGTTGATTGGTATTTTTTTTATTATATAAAAAATGTTTCGTCAACCTTAGGCCCTGCCAGTATTATCAGCGCTGCAGCAGCCCTGGTGTTGCTGTAGTATAAGGCTGAGGCAGGGACCTAGTTGGCCTGTCTTACTGTGTTCCGTTTTTGTAAATATGTGTTTAAGAGCCCTTTTACAAAATTTCACCGCTGCCGTACTAATCGGCACATAGGTAGATTTGCACTAGTATATACTGCATTTTACGGGTGATGTTTAGACTCTTGTAAAATGATTATTAATGAACTAATTTTAAAAATATAGACATATTTTCGTAGTTCAATGATGGTGGATTAGTTTTTTGAAAATTTTTGATAGTAATTCTATTTAATTCAATATCAAAATACGAGGTAAACCTGCATTATTTCTTGGGAAAACTCACGGAGGTTAGATGTTTTTTTTTTGATTATTAATGAGATAGAAAATCAAAATTCTAATACATTGTTACAACAAAAACATATTTCTGATGTCGTAGTAATTTATTTGATCTAATTTATTGAACATCATTTAGATATTCAGGCGTTTGAAGTTGTGGATATTATCGTTTTTTCCGTAAACTAGCTGCAGAACAACGATCAGTACAAAAAAAGGAAAATAGTATTTGCAAATATTCTACATTGGTGTCGATTCTGGCGTGATTCTCTAAACTTAAAACTAAATTTAACATCAGTCTCTCCTTTTTATTCTGTATAGAGAATGACAGGGATGCACTGTTGTCAAATTTAAGTTTAGCTTTAGAGAATCATGCCAGAATCGACATCATTAACTTTCAATAGGAAGAATAATTCTACTGTTAACTTCTATTGGAAATAGTCAAAATCTTTTCTAAGGGGGTAAATAAGGCGCTCGAAAATTACGAATTTTTGCAAAAAAATGTGAAAGGGCTCTTAGGTCAATAAAATTTGTTTGTTTCGTGTTGCAAATACCGTATTGTTCTGGTACGGCAGCATGGACACGGCGTCGGGCAGCATCCTGGGCTCGGAGCCGACGTCGCCGACCTCCCCCGCCTCCCCCGCCGCGCCCCTCGCGCCGTCGCACCATCCGCATCACCCGCGCGCCCTCTACCGCGCCCTCACCGACCTGGCCGGTTAGTATCAACCAATAGGGATGATGACTATTTTTTTTTCTTCGTTAATCAGGTAGATTATCGAAAAGTATTGGACACGTATTTTTTCTTTTTTCACATAATATAAACATTGCAGAGATATATTGATTTGAAGAGTCACATGACGTCACGTTTGAGTACACTTATAAGTGAAAATTCACTCAAAAGTGACGTCACGAGCCCCTACTCCCAAACTTTGACGCGTTATAACTTTTTCATAGAACGGGGTACACTAAACGAAATTCTATTTAGTCACTGGACTAAATAGAATTTCGTTTAGTGTACCCCGTCATCACCCCTATTACAAATCATATGAAGCTTAGATTAAAACAAAAACGGAAGATACGGCACACGCGGCTCAGAAGTGATCCGCTTAAATAGGGTCATCATTATCATCTGCCTATTAATGTCCCCACTGCTGGGGCACAGGCCTTCCCTATGGATGGAATAGGTAGATTTGGGCCATGACCCACCGCGTGGGCCCAGTGCGGATTGGTGGGTGCCAACGACTGCAGATGCAGCCGGGACCGACGGCTTAACGTGCCTTCCGAAGCACGGAGGAGCTCGAGATAGTAATTTTTGGTCACCCATCCAATGACCGACCACTGCGAAAGTTGCTTAAGTTCAACGATCGCAGCCGAACGCGCTAACCACTTGCGCCATCGAGCTTAAATAGGGTATTTGACAATATTAAAAATAAAGTGCTAATTGTTAGCTTCTATCTGTGTTTAGAATGAATATTGGCAGGGGTTTTTACTATTTTTACAAAAAAAATATTCATAAGTTTACTAAAAACCCACGAAAAAGATAATAGTTTTCTTATCTATTGTCACGTGACCCAAAACGTTTGGGATTGGCAGAGCCTAAAATGACGTCACACGCAAGTAAACTTCCGGTTAAAGTGACATTACATTGTATCGTTTGACGTTTTAATAACGGTCGAGTGACGTCACACACTAGTAAGGCGCCATATTGTCCAGAGAAACGTTTTCGCAGCAACTTGAAAATGGAGTTTTGACGTGACAACGTCTTAAATTAGGTTGCGGCTGGGAGTCACTTATGAAAAAGTGTAACGCTCGGTAACGTTACGATGAGTCTCTCGTGTTAAGTTTAAGTTTACATGTACAATGTTTTAGTAAACAAAATATATTTCTATAGTTAAAATTTGTGCAATTCTTATTTTCATTCAATTCCTTGTTCCTATTGTGCAATTTAATTATATTCATATCAATAAATATTCTACCGAGAAAAAGACGTTGTCACGTAAAATCTTCGCCCGTAAAACCGACTTTACAGGCAACCATTTTTTTGATTTGGTTATTTTTACTGAAATACACAACAGAATGATGAATATCCACTTTTTACGGACTCTATAAACATTAGTCAATAACGTGAGATTGTTTTCTAAAACTTGTCAAATACATAGGGTATGATGGTGGTGCATGACCACAAGGCTTTAGTCACAATTGGACATCCAAACACGATGCATTTGCACTCAATATAACAATATTGCTTATATTCTGTGTTATAAAGATAAAACGATGCCTTTGATGTTTTTATAAAGACCACGAATAAATCAAGATCAAATAATAATTTCACGGCAAACTGAAATCGTAATACTGATTTTTTCCTTTAAAAATCACGGTTTGTCATGAATGTTATTTACTTATTCGCCAATGATTATCAAGAAAAGTACAACAATACAGCTCAGCCGTTTGTAGAGAGGACAGAAAACGCAGTCGCCAAGCCAAACGATGCGGACTCGCCTCGCGACAGTTCTATCTCGCTCGTTCGATTGTATGTTTATTTACAGAAAAAAAAGAAGTGTGCGTACGTGAGAATTGCTTATGTAGTTGAGTCGGAGAATATTTTATTTGATGCTAGTATGAGCATGCCGTATCTTCCCTTTTTGTTTTAATCTAAGTATGTATAAGAAAAAATATTAGTTTGTTTCTTAAAAACAGTGATGTTCACACACTTAATACAAGAAACAAAAATAAACTAACTTTACCTGCTCCTAGGCTTCACAAAATCAATAATTCATTTAAAGGTCTTTGTGTTCGCTTATACAATAAAGTCCCAAGCAATATCCAAGAGTTAACCATAAATAAATTCAAAGATAGTATAAAAAAACACTTATTAAAAAAGCTTATTACAAAGTGTCTGATTATATTACAGACAAAAATGCTGGGGTTTGAACTATTCCAATCATTCCAACAGGTTTTCTATATTAAATAAATCACGGTTGTATTGACGTTGTAACGACATAATGATTTGTAAATGTTGTTACATTAGAATTTTAATGCTGTGGAGTTTATTTCGCTCGTTTTTCTCCGCAGCTAAAAAATATGTCCAATAACGGGTGGTAGGGAAAATAATGTTTGGACGATTCAAAAGTGTTGTACTATACATCCAATTTGAATAAAGATATATTGATTTCTGATTATGGAAACTTCACCCTCTAACGCGAGCCGTTAAAACATGCTTCCAAACTCAAACTTCCGCCGTAGTTTTGCGAACCGATGGCGAAGCTTCTCGACCGTCTTCTTTCTCACAAGTGCTTACTTTGTTACAACTAAAGTTCAATGCGAAAGCACACGCACACAGTTTGTATTTAATAGCGATATGACCTTTAAATTAGGAGTTATATGGAAGCATTACTCTCTAACAATGGCAGATAAAATGGTTTTAGAGTCATATAACTAAATTTCAATACAATCGCCACGAGCACACAAGCACACAGTCCAAATAATATACTTTGGCAAATCAAATGTCTGCAAATGAACTCGGCAATCCATTCATTGGATGAGATAATTTTTAACGGAAATTCCACCCACTTGATCTGTTTGCCTGAAACCACTTTTTACTGTTGTAGTATTGTATATTATTTTTAATTCAATGCTTGGTAAATTATCATTATTTCTTCCTTAGGGGCCGTTCAAGTATTACGTAAGCAGATTTATTACAATTATTTACCCCCTCCTCCCCCGTGTCAGCAAAAGTAAGCAAAGCTCTTACTCCCCCCCTCACGTGCTTACGTAAACATTGGTACCTATGGAGCTCTATACCAGAATGGATAGAACCTGGGGACGTGGCTCTTCATTAAAACAACTTGACGATGGTTATTATTTTATATTTCAGGCGAATATAAAGAATTTTATCTAAATACGAGAGGTTTGCTTGGTGCCTGAAGATCTACTCTTGAATGGAACCTTCTATCAAAAGACAGACGATTCCTTATTTCAAATCTTAAAATCATGACATTAACTTTTTAATATAACTGCCAACCGTAGGCATTGCAAAAGCAAAGAGTTTACCTAAACAAGGAGGTAGTAACGTACCGGACGTTACAGTACCTACATGCATTTTACCTTTAATGTATTCTGTTTTTTTTGAAGTTATTTTTATTGATTCATGAGCTTTCATAAGCAGCAGTACTTAAATAGGCTTAGGATAGAGGACTTTAACTCACATAATATTCATTTAAACAAACTTTATTGACACAGTATTCAACATTGAGTAAGGTACTATTACGAACAAAACCAACTACTTTCGAATTTTTGGTATATGTATACAGTCTTCAGTCCATGATACCTGAATCCATGATGCTGACGTAATCACTATCTCTACCCCCCACCCCCCATGTCATCAAAAATAAGCAACGCAAAGACCCCCTGCCCCCTATAGTGCTTACGTAATACTTGAACGGCCCCTTATCAAAGCGGCAAGCGGAATTGTTGTTATAGGCATGATAATATCTTTACACAATGGTTTCTATATTTCTCTCTTTTTCATGTTATAAAGAATTTTAAAAACATAATATTCGCAAAATTTCCATTACCAATTGCTGTTTAAAACTTGAGTGTGTTCTGTTTAATAAATAATTAAAATCAGTTGCTCCTACTAAGACAGAGGTACATGTTTGTGGATCCTGGACTATCTATTGACTGATAATTTTTAACTGAGCTTCAATTTTCTCCCAGGCCCTCGGATGTAGGCGGGACTGGGGGTGGGATATATATATATATATATATATGTATATATTAAGTTGTTATAATCAATTAGTATATTTTATATTATGCAAAGGCCTTCATGTATTACTTTTTCTGCTCTATGAATCCAAACAGATACACATGCACCTATAATCGTTGTAAACACATGTTCCTGAGACTGTAAACGTTTCGCTAGCGTGATTCACATCATCACATTTGACTGAAATTGTATTTTATAGCGATATAAGTAGATAATGTAATAAATATATAAAGAAACGGAAATATATAATACCAAAAATATTTAACAACATAAGCTCAACAATGGAAAAATGTAGAAGTAAACATATATTTAAAAAAAGATATTTTGGATAATTTTGTTGTAGAGGACTTTGGTTAAAAGTATCCTATGTGCGAATCAGCACATAGGATACTTATTATTAACCAGATAATGGTTTATCTGTGTGCCAAATTTTGTATAGTATTTGTATATTGGTGGTGGGTATATATATATATATATATATATATATATATATATATACATAATATTAACTGAGCTTCAATAAATGAGCAAATATATATATATATATACATGCATATAGAAAGAAAAAAAATGTAAAGAGCGTAATATTCGCCAGTAAACTGACTTTTCAGTTTGGCGAAATAAGTTGTTTTTTGTATAACTGTATTTTTAGTGAAAATAAATATATAATTACACAGGCTACCCAGACGCAGAAGGTCCAAGCTCGCCGCCCACCAGCGGCGAGTGGAACAGCTCTATGTACACGAGCGCCACAGGACGGGCCCCGGGGCCCGGCGGCTGGCAGTGGGGCGCGTCGGGCCCCGCGTGGGCGGCGCCGGGGCTCGTCGACTCGGAGGCCCTCATCGCTATCGAGCTGTGCTTCGTCAAAGGCGACGCCGACTCCGAAGACTTGAGGATCGCCAACATATCATTCAACAATCTAGACATTATCGGTACTATTTTTATATTCTCAACTAGTGACAAGATTTTATTAAAAATTTCACAGTAACGTTGATACCAAAGAAAAAAAGGATCTTGTTATTGAATCGTAAACGTTATTGGTTTCCCATACAAAATTTCTACACCCATTTTACCCCCTGCCAATTTTATTTTCACAGAATAAGTAGTCTAGAACCGTCTCATACATTTCTAGACCAAATGTGGTTAAGGCTTCGACAATGATCTGATGAAATACACTTAAACAGTTTTGCATCTCATTAAAATTAGTAATGAAGGTTATGAAGTATTTGATTTAATATAATTAAATCTTCGGTCCCTGTAATGAAGTATTTTTATATGTTAAAAGAGTGGGAAACAAGCCTATGGTCTGATGGTAAGCGGCCACCATAGCCTATAGACGCTTGCAATACAAATAAAAATATCGCTTGTTTATAAAGTCGGTTTACTGACGATAGTTGAACGTGACAACGTTTTTTTACAATGTACGTATGAGTACATATTTTTTACAGGTATGAATGTGCTTTGAGCAATTGTTTTACAACTTTTAAACATGTGTGATATCATTACCTTTATCGCTGCAATTATCCTTGCTATAAACAATTGACGCCACATTCACTTCTCACTGCACTTCATACTTGACGAAAACATGTAAATGTATTATTGTATAGCAGCTGTCCTCGCGGACGCATCGCCCACTCAAGTAGGAGAGAGACATATGTCGAACGCGGAGGCCGATTGTGCCTCTTTCGCTCGTTGCACGCTCTCGCTTGCACTTTAAGCCTTAAATGAGTGATGTTTTTTTGTGCGTGCAGCCGGCTCCATCGAATTATAACACGTTATCACGTCAAAATCACTCACGCCGTTGCCTACCCTGACCCAATCCCTTACCCTGCGGAGCCCTGGAACCTTACCGACTGAAACACAACACAACCAAAAGGTAGTGTTATTTTACTGGCCGCTCCGATTTGAGCGGAAAATCCGCTGAGCCTTAAGGGCCTCATACACGGAACGATTCGTCGTTGCGATCGATCTGAAGGAAATCGTCAACGATCGATCGTTCAGAAATGCCACTACATACACGAAACACTGTCGATCGATCGTTTACGATATTCATGATTGCATGGGATTTGGTTGCGATTTGCGATATCGTCTTCGATTAAGTAAATCGTTAACGATCTTGACATACACTGTCGATCCATCGTTTCGATCGGTCTGAAACGACGGATCGTACAGATCAATCGTACCGTATATGGGACACTGACGATCGATCGTTCACGATATTCATGATTGCATGGGTTTTTGTTGCGATCTCCGATATCGTCTGCGATTAAGTAAATCGTTAACGATCTTGACATACATTGTCGATCCATCGTTTCGATTGGTCTGAAACGACGGATCGTACAGATCAATCGTTCCGTATATGGGCCTCTTTACTTCACTTAAATAATATGATGTATTGTTATTTAGCGAACCAAGAGACGATAGTGGAGTTGATCGGTTTCGCGCAGCGCGTGGCTGGAGGTCGCGCGCCCAACAAGGTTCCTTCCGAGGCGCATCTCTCCCAGCTCAGTATGGATGAAGAAGCCCAGCCCACCACCGCTGACGACGAGAACAAGGTGATTTGTACTTATATTAAACTAGCGGCCCGCCCTCGCTTCGCTTCGGTGTAGAGCTGAAGGGTAGACTACAGTTTTTGTTCTCAGGCTTGAATTATACACAATGATATTCACCTATGATTCTTCTTATGCATTCGTACCTGCATGCAAAGTCTCAGCCCGATCGGTTTAGAATTGACAAAGTTTCATACAAACTTTCATTCCCTATTTTATCCCCTTGGGGGTAGAATTGATCAAAATCCTTTCTTAGCGGATGCCTACGTCATAACATCTACCTGTATGCCAAATTTCAGCCCGATCCGTCCAGTGGTTTGGGCTGTGCGTTGATAGATCACTATGTCAGTCGGTCAGTCACCTTTGAGTTTTATATATATAGATGTACACAAAGGCAAGATTTGGTATTAGTTAAAAGTAAATAGATTCTCGTCTTATCGTATGCAGCAAATGGACTGAGCGAATTGAGCATGAAATGAACTAATTCCTGGAAAGAGAGGAAGATATGATATAGCGTATACGAACTTTTGTATGCACGATCGCATCTTTTCGACCTCCGTGGCGGAAAAGTATGTACGCCGGGTTGCAAGTTGTCGCCTATTTACAGAAATGCCTAGTTTTTTTTATTTTATCAGAAGAAAGTATAATTTTGTTTCGTTTTCTAAAGATTTAAAATAAAAAGTTGATTTTGATATGTTTCACTGTCTTTTTGTTACCACTTTCTATAACTAATACAATCCCGGGACTATCCCGGGATTAACTGTAGATAATCCCGCAATTCCGGGGTTAGAAAAATCGACTGGGATCGAATCCTCTAGATGTTATACATCAATAAGGAGCTTAATGGCGCAGGTGGTTAGCGCGTTCTACTTTTCTATATCGAATTCCTCCGTGCTTTGGTAGGCACGTTATACCGTTGGTCCCGGATGTATCTGCAGTCGTTAGCACCCGCCAATCCGCACTGGGCCCGCGTGGTAGTTCATGGCCCAATCTCCCTATTCCATATATTCAATTATCTAAAATTGAAAAAGAAAATTTTAGGGGTGGATTACCCTTAACATTTTGGGATGAAAAATAGATGTTGTCCGATTCTCAGACCTACCCAATATGCACACAAAATTTCATGAGAATCGGGAAAGCCGTTTCGGAGGAGTTTAACCACAAACACCGCGACATGAGAATTTTATATATTAGATTTAAATAATAATTTAAGTAAAATTGCAACGCCCTTGCTGGGTGTCACATATTTGTACAACTTATGATATAGTATAGTATGATGTAGTTTTTGTACTGTCTGTGGCATGCAATAAAGAATAAATAAATAAATAGTGTATTGTTTTGCCGCAGCGCTGCGTTCGTACGGAGATCACATTCGACTTTCACCGTCTGGGCGTGCTGCTCGTGCGCGCCGGAGTGCAGGGGGCCAGGAAGATCGCCACCGCCACCGTCACCGAGGCCAAGATACAGGCCACGCTCGGTAAATATATCACTCACCTCGTTCTTGGCCGAGTACTTGTGGGTTTCATGATGTCGCCGATCCGAGAGGTTCCGGATTCTAATCCAGGTGGCGGCAGATGTTTGTGTGATGAATACGAGCATTTGTATATATATATATATATATACTTATATATTTACATTATATGTATTCTACCCGTTACCCTAGTATCCCATAACACAAGCTTACAGTGCTTCCTTAATATTGTAAAGGAAAATATTAATATGTATAATTAAATGATGTGTAAAGATCGGCACCACAAGAATAATTTTCATAATAAATTCACTAATATATTGAGTTTGACGGTAAATCGACACAAGTTTGCGGTCTTGTTCATGAGCGGTACCAAGAGAACTATTTGTTCTTTTAATGACTCGCTCACTACATATTGGTGCAAACCTATGCTAATGCGTTGTAAAAGATAAATGTTTTTTAAAAAAGACACCACTTTCATGAAGTTAGTTTGATATATGATATTTTTAACGTGTTTTTGATAATATTCCCCACATAAAAATAATAATTTCATTCTTTTTATACAGTATATAAATAAAATTAAATGGTTTAGAGAGATTGTTATTGTTTTATGTAAAGTGTTAGGTTTTGGTCGCCGCACATGCAACGGACGCACGACAATATTCAATTGCAAAACTTTTTGCTTACCATAGACTGAATATGATAACCAGAAATGACAAATGAAATCAATTTAGTTAAAGTAACAAGTTTCATGATGTTATAGAAAATATTACTCACAATCACATTATAAAACATGGATTTGCCTACATGAATCTAATGAAAAAAGTAAGTTAAACTTGGGGCTGAATTTGATCTCCATGTGGCATTCGCTTTCCAGGAAGGGTTTTCTTTTTTAGATCCTCTTCGTCTATTATTTGAAGAGCTGGACAAGTTTTTTTTTTTCTTATATAAATCCTGCCATTTTTTGTCCATGCAAACTGAAAATCACCATCCTTTATTAATTCTCTGCATTTCTTAAGAAGCTGTTTATTTTTAGTAGTGAGATGTTCGTTAACAAAGATTTTCCTGGCGTCTCCACCAAGGCCAATATCCTCAGTAGTTAGCTAACATTTACGCGCAAGAGAGCTTATAGACAACTAGTATCTTACAAGTATAAATCACTCGTTTACTTCATATATTTTGTTTATCCAACAAGTTCGATACAAGTATTGCATACTGCATGTTTAATGCATGCATATCAGTGTAGACGAAAGATGAAGATATTGTATAAAAATTTCTGATAAACCAAAAAATGGTTGCCTGTAAAGTCGGTTTTACGGGCGAAGATTTTACGTGACAACGTCTTTTTCTCGGTAGAATATTTATTGATATGAATATAATTAAATTGCACAATAGGAACAAGGAATTGAATGAAAATAAGAATTGCACAAATTTTAACTATAGAAATATATTTTGTTTACTAAAACATTGTACATGTAAACTTAAACTTAACACGAGAGACTCATCGTAACGTTACCGAGCGTTACACTTTTTCATAAGTGACTCCCAGCCGCAACCTAATTTAAGACGTTGTCACGTCAAAATTTGTTAAACACATATTATACCATGGTTTAAACGAGGGGTATCAGTGTGTATCCGGTGTCCGTATATACAGATGCGCGCACGGTGTCCGTCGGCGGGTCGCTGGGTGGCGTGCAGGTGGTGTCGCTGTGCGAGGGCGCGGGCGTGCACGCGCGCGTGCTGGCGGCGGGCGCGCCTGTCCATCCCGGGCCCGGGCCGGACCATGCCAGCCCGCACCAGCACCAGGACAACGCGCTGCTCTTCACCATCGCCAGGAGGGTGCTCGCGCCCGCGCCCGCGCCGACAGGCGGAGACGCGCCAGGTCAGTGCCACTATTGATATATCTAGGCGAGGGCGCGGGCGTGCACGCGCGCGTGCTGGCGGCGGGCGCGCCTGTCCATCCCGGGCCCGGGCCGGACCATGCCAGCCCGCACCAGCACCAGGACAACGCGCTGCTCTTCACCATCGCCAGGAGGGTGCTCGCGCCCGCGCCCGCGCCGACAGGCGGAGACGCGCCAGGTCAGTGCCACTATTGATATATCTAGGCGAGGGCGCGGGCGTGCACGCGCGCGTGCTGGCGGCGGGCGCGCCTGTCCATCCCGGGCCCGGGCCGGACCATGCCAGCCCGCACCAGCACCAGGACAACGCGCTGCTCTTCACCATCGCCAGGAGGGTGCTCGCGCCCGCGCCCGCGCCGACAGGCGGAGACGCGCCAGGTCAGTGCCACTATTGATATATCTAGGCGAGGGCGCGGGCGTGCACGCGCGCGTGCTGGCGGCGGGCGCGCCTGTCCATCCCGGGCCCGGGCCGGACCATGCCAGCCCGCACCAGCACCAGGACAACGCGCTGCTCTTCACCATCGCCAGGAGGGTGCTCGCGCCCGCGCCCGCGCCGACAGGCGGAGACGCGCCAGGTCAGTGCCACTATTGATATATCTAGGCGAGGGCGCGGGCGTGCACGCGCGCGTGCTGGCGGCGGCGCGCCTGTCCATCCCGGGCCCGGGCCGGACCATGCCAGCCGCACCAGCACCAGGACAACGCGCTGCTCTTCACCATCGCCAGGAGGGTGCTCGCGCCCGCGCCCGCGCCGACAGGCGGAGACGCGCCAGGTCAGTGCCACTATTGATATATCTAGGCGAGGGCGCGGGCGTGCACGCGCGCGTGCTGGCGGCGGGCGCGCCTGTCCATCCCGGGCCCGGGCCGGACCATGCCAGCCCGCACCAGCACCAGGACAACGCGCTGCTCTTCACCATCGCCAGGAGGGTGCTCGCGCCCGCCCCGCGCCGACAGGCGGAGACGCGCCAGGTCAGTGCCACTATTGATATCTCTAGGCGAGGGGCGGGCGTGCACCAGGACAACGCGCTGCTCTTCACCATCGCCAGGAGGGTGCTCGCGCCCGCGCCCGCGCCGACAGGCGGAGACGCGCCAGGTCAGTGCCACTATTGATATATCTAGGCGGGCGGGCGTGCACTGTTTTAAAAATACACTATAGCTTTGTTCATCACGGATAATGAAGGAATTTAAAGGTGAACGATTTTCTATAAAACGATATATGTGACGACGATAAATGATGACGAAGTGAACAATAAAACGGAACAACTTCTGTCAAAAATAAATAACTGGCTGACCGACCACAACCTTAAAATTAACTTAACTAAAACTAAACTGATGCAGTTCGGACCCTACCAAAGGCAAAAATTGAAAATAAATTTCACATTTGAAAATCACAAATTAGAATGTGTTAACTCTTACTCCCTTTTGGGCCTCGAAATAGACACTCACATACACTGGAAAAATCACATTAATAAAATAGCTACAAAATTGTCAAGGATCACGTATGCGCTCTATGAGTTAAAAAGGTCCACCGACAAACAGACCGCCCTGAATGCATATTATGCGTACGCTAATGCGTGGCTCCAGTACGGCATTGTCTTGTGGGGAAATAGCGTAGAAATTTCAAAATTATTTAAACTCCAAAAGCGCTGCCTCAGAATTATAGTAAATATTGATCAAAGGACAAGTTGCCGACCATATTTCATAGGTGAAGGTATTCTAACCCTTACGAATATATACATTTTGGAATTATGTATGTTTGTTAGAAAACACACTCATCTTTTTCCCCAACAAGAACGACCAAGTAGATTAAGACCGCATCAAAGATTAGCCCCTCCAAATTCCAAATTGCATTTAGTACACACAGGACCTTTTGCTATGGCCGTGAAAGTGTACAATAAAATTCCCGAACATATAAAAAACGAAAAAAACGTAGTCAAATTTAAAAAACTACTGAAATCATTTTTATCAAAGACCAGCTTTTATTCGATGCAAGAGTTTTTCAATTTTAAATAGTACCTAGTTAATTTAAGCAAGACCTTATTTATTTTTTATGTTTTTTTAATGTTCCCACGTAATGTTATTTTATTTGAAATTATTATTATTGTTATTATTGAATGCTATTTATCAGTGTTATTAATTATTAGTTAATAATTATGTTCAAATTAATTTTAATTAAATTTAATTGAAGTAGATGATTAATATTATTTAATTAAGGACATTTTAAATTAAATCGCTATACCCTTTCAGGGTTCATGTGTCTGTATCTAATCTTTATGTAACATCTGTAATAACCACACGAGTGCAATAAATAAATAAATTGGATATATATAACGATAGTAAGTTTCGGAGCCTATTCAATACAAACAAACTATTCCTCCTTGTAAACTTAGTAAAGATCATCAGATCTGACTGCATGTTAACGAAACCGTGTGGTTGTGTACGCAGTGATATCGGCAGAGGTGTCGGTGCAAGTGGCCAGCGTGTGGTACACGCACTCTGGCGCGCTGCTTCTGGAACTGCGCTCCTGCCTCACGGAGTTCAAGCGCTACCTGGCCAACCTGGCGCGCTCCATCCGCGCCGCCGCCGCCGACATGGCCATCACACTCGTGCAGCCCAGGTGACCTGCCCCCCCCCCCCCCCTCCTATCTATCTATGTGCTGCTGGAACTGCGCTCCTGCCTCACGGAGTTCAAGCGCTACCTGGCCAACCTGGCGCGCTCCATCCGCGCCGCCGCCGCCGACATGGCCATCACACTCGTGCAGCCCAGGTGACCTGCCCCCCCCCCCCTCCTATCTATCTATGTGCTGCTGGAACTGCGCTCCTGCCTCACGGAGTTCAAGCGCTACCTGGCCAACCTGGCGCGCTCCATCCGCGCCGCCGCCGCCGACATGGCCATCACACTCGTGCAGCCCAGGTGACCTGCCCCCCCCCCCCTCCTATCTATCTATGTGCTGCTGGAACTGCGCTCCTGCCTCACGGAGTTCAAGCGCTACCTGGCCAACCTGGCGCGCTCCATCCGCGCCGCCGCCGCCGACATGGCCATCACACTCGTGCAGCCCAGGTGACCTGCCCCCCCCCCCCCCCCCCCTCCTATCTATCTATGTGCTGCTGGAACTGCGCTCCTGCCTCACGGAGTTCAAGCGCTACCTGGCCAACCTGGCGCGCTCCATCCGCGCCGCCGCCGCCGACATGGCCATCACACTCGTGCAGCCCAGGTGACCTGCCCCCCCCCCCCCCTCCTATCTATCTATGTGCTGCTGGAACTGCGCTCCTGCCTCACGGAGTTCAAGCGCTACCTGGCCAACCTGGCGCGCTCCATCCGCGCCGCCGCCGCCGACATGGCCATCACACTCGTGCAGCCCAGGTGACCTGCCCCCCCCCCCCCCCCCCCTCCTATCTATCTATGTGCTGCTGGAACTGCGCTCCTGCCTCACGGAGTTCAAGCGCTACCTGGCCAACCTGGCGCGCTCCATCCGCGCCGCCGCCGCCGACATGGCCATCACACTCGTGCAGCCCAGGTGACCTGCCCCCCCCCCCCCCCCCTCCTATCTATCTATGTGCTGCTGGAACTGCGCTCCTGCCTCACGGAGTTCAAGCGCTACCTGGCCAACCTGGCGCGCTCCATCCGCGCCGCCGCCGCCGACATGGCCATCACACTCGTGCAGCCCAGGTGACCTGCCCCCCCCCCCCCTCCTATCTATCTATGTGCTGCTGGAACTGCGCTCCTGCCTCACGGAGTTCAAGCGCTACCTGGCCAACCTGGCGCGCTCCATCCGCGCCGCCGCCGCCGACATGGCCATCACACTCGTGCAGCCCAGGTGACCTGCCCCCCCCCCCCCCCCCCCTCCTATCTATCTATGTGCTGCTGGAACTGCGCTCCTGCCTCACGGAGTTCAAGCGCTACCTGGCCAACCTGGCGCGCTCCATCCGCGCCGCCGCCGCCGACATGGCCATCACACTCGTGCAGCCCAGGTGACCTGCCCCCCCCCCCCCCTCCTATCTATCTATGTGCTGCTGGAACTGCGCTCCTGCCTCACGGAGTTCAAGCGCTACCTGGCCAACCTGGCGCGCTCCATCCGCGCCGCCGCCGCCGACATGGCCATCACACTCGTGCAGCCCAGGTGACCTGCCCCCCCCCCCCCCCCCCCTCCTATCTATCTATGTGCTGCTGGAACTGCGCTCCTGCCTCACGGAGTTCAAGCGCTACCTGGCCAACCTGGCGCGCTCCATCCGCGCCGCCGCCGCCGACATGGCCATCACACTCGTGCAGCCCAGGTGACCTGCCCCCCCCCCCCCTCCTATCTATCTATGTGCTGCTGGAACTGCGCTCCTGCCTCACGGAGTTCAAGCGCTACCTGGCCAACCTGGCGCGCTCCATCCGCGCCGCCGCCGCCGACATGGCCATCACACTCGTGCAGCCCAGGTGACCTGCCCCCCCCCCCCCTCCTATCTATCTATGTGCTGCTGGAACTGCGCTCCTGCCTCACGGAGTTCAAGCGCTACCTGGCCAACCTGGCGCGCTCCATCCGCGCCGCCGCCGCCGACATGGCCATCACACTCGTGCAGCCCAGGTGACCTGCCCCCCCCCCCCCCCCCCTCCTATCTATCTATGTGCTGCTGGAACTGCGCTCCTGCCTCACGGAGTTCAAGCGCTACCTGGCCAACCTGGCGCGCTCCATCCGCGCCGCCGCCGCCGACATGGCCATCACACTCGTGCAGCCCAGGTGACCTGACTGAAATATTGACCTAAACAATTACTTGCGGTTAAAAATGGTTTGGCATCAAAATGTACTTTTGATCGTACAATTTGAATGTAGTGTTATAATATTTTTAAGCATTTAACTGATGTTTATATTTCAAGAAAACTTTACTAGCAATAATTTCGCACGTATAGCGGAAAAATTGCATGCGAACTATCGCGTGCAATTTTTTGTAGTAAATTTTTCTTTAGACTTACGTATTTAAATTTGTTTTTCTGTAGGGGCGAAAGTCTATATTCGAACCCGCGCCTGTCTCAGTCGACGGAGGGCGTGTCGCCGCGGCGCCGCACCGTCAGCTTCGGCGTCTCCCTCGAGGACCCTCCCGACCTCAGCTCCGAACAAATACAACTCAGGTACTGCCTAATATTTTGCCATACCATTTATATAGTGATGAAATAATACAAGTTCCATTTTTTTAACAATGTGCTATGTGAATAAATGTTCTTGATTTATATTAAAACTTTTCTTACCAGAAACAGTTGAATGCTGATTTATTATTATTTATTTGAGTAAATGATAAATTGGGTTTTTGACAAGTTTTAAAAAACGATTTCACGTTATTTGCTAATGTTAACGTAGTCCATAAAAAGTGGATATTCATCATTCTCTTAAGTATTGCAGTAATAGAAGCTGAATCAAGAATTCCATTTTCAAGTGGTGGCAAAAACATTTCTCTGTACATTATGGCGTACCACTCGCCGTACAATGTGACGTCACACAATTGTAATTAAAACATCGAACGATACAATGTAATTTTCGCCAATCCAAGGCCGGTCCGGTCACGTGACTATAGAACAAAATAAAAAATTTCTATTTAATGTTTTTTTTTGAAAAGTTGTTAATTGTTTGAACATCAGCGCCCGTTTTACTTTTCAGAGACAACAGAAAAGTAAAATGGCTGCTGATATTCATGATAAATACAGATGCCAACCATTGGTATTCTATTATTCATACTGTCAAATAATCTTTTATTTTGTATTTAAGGAATGCCACCACAAAAAAAAAACAAAATCGCTAAGCAGACGCGATTTAGCATTTATCTTTCTGATTTTATTTTTTCTAATGTTTGTGATCGCTCGTGTCCAGCGTGAGCGTGGAGCTGGAGTCTCCAGTGGTGGTGATTCCTCGCGCGGCGCACAGCACCGAGGTGCTGGTGGCGCATCTGGGCCGCATGAGCCTCGCCAACACGCCCGGCCCCCCGCGCCGCGCCCTCTACCGCGTGCGCGTGCGCGACATATCGCTGGCCACGGTCAGTATACCACACCCGGGCCGCATGAGCCTCGCCAACACGCCCGGCCCCCCGCGCCGCGCCCTCTACCGCGTGCGCGTGCGCGACATATCGCTGGCCACGGTCAGTATACCACACCCGGGCCGCATGAGCCTCGCCAACACGCCCGGCCCCCCGCGCCGCGCCCTCTACCGCGTGCGCGTGCGCGACATATCGCTGGCCACGGTCAGTATACCACACCCGGGCCGCATGAGCCTCGCCAACACGCCCGGCCCCCCGCGCCGCGCCCTCTACCGCGTGCGCGTGCGCGACATATCGCTGGCCACGGTCAGTATACCACACCCGGGCCGCATGAGCCTCGCCAACACGCCCGGCCCCCCGCGCCGCGCCCTCTACCGCGTGCGCGTGCGCGACATATCGCTGGCCACGGTCAGTATACCACACCCGGGCCGCATGAGCCTCGCCAACACGCCCGGCCCCCCGCGCCGCGCCCTCTACCGCGTGCGCGTGCGCGACATATCGCTGGCCACGGTCAGTATACCACACCCGGGCCGCATGAGCCTCGCCAACACGCCCGGCCCCCCGCGCCGCGCCCTCTACCGCGTGCGCGTGCGCGACATATCGCTGGCCACGGTCAGTATACCACACCCGGGCCGCATGAGCCTCGCCAACACGCCCGGCCCCCCGCGCCGCGCCCTCTACCGCGTGCGCGTGCGCGACATATCGCTGGCCACGGTCAGTATACCACACCCGGGCCGCATGAGCCTCGCCAACACGCCCGGCCCCCCGCGCCGCGCCCTCTACCGCGTGCGCGTGCGCGACATATCGCTGGCCTGGCTGTCCACAATGCCAGCAGACGCTTCTTAAAAATCTTTATCGGTAATGATTTAAGGCTACTCAGAACCGGAACCTTTCTGAATATTCTGTGAGCCATCCGACAGAAGCTATTTACAGTTATATTGTGTTATATAACTTTAAATAAGTCGCTGTTAAAGATGACTAAATAATAGCTACTCAGACTCCCTATTGAAAATATTTATACGCAATCAGAATGCATAAAATGTGAAATATTATTGTTGGAATGTCTCCATGAGATCGAATGATAAATATAATCGGTTCGTCAGCTGGACGTGGCTGAGAAACTGAAGACGCTCGAGTTGCGCGCGGAGAACCTGGAGCAGATCTACGACGTGAGCTGCGGCCGGCCCGTGCTGCATAACACCGAGGTGCGGCTAGCTCTGCAGTGCTCCGACTTCGAGCGAGACCAGCAGCTCGTGCAGCAGGTGGCTATTCTATCACTCTTCATATTATAAGTAAAATAAAGTAAAACTAGTTGATGTTTAATGCAATGGAATGAAAAAAATTAAGGGAAATCTTCGTTAGATCGACACAATGCAACAAAACAGTTTTTGTTTCCAGTCATTGCTGGTGCTCCATCGGTTGTAATGCACACTATAGTCTGTCCATTCTATTATTATCTTTTTGACGGATCGATCGAAGTAAAAATAGTGACACCGTATCTCATAACTCGTTGGATTTAAAGCTATAATCGAATTTATGCTAGAACATTGTTTAATCGATTATATGTATCGAAATTATTTTAGTTATCAAAAATACTGGTGTTTAATAAATTATTATAAAATCTCATTAGATTTATTATTTAACCTAATACAAATATTTGTGTGATGAGCACGAGCATTTGTTCTGTGTCTGGGTGTGATTTATGTATAATATGTATACATATACAACAGCAGTATACTTTTTATATGTTTGTTTATCCTAATACTAATACTCTGTACAATTAAATTTATTGATTATAATTATTAATTTCATTTAAAAAATGATCTGGCTTTTATCGAAGGAAAACCTTTTTGCCCTATTCTCACCATGTCGCAATAGATATTTATCTACGGATGATCAGTAGACATACATCGACTGGTGAAGAGCCTTCGATATATAAATATCTATGGATCTTGGCATGTCAATCTTGTTATTTCCACTTTTTTTACCTACTATTTATTGTGTTGTCGTGTGTCATTGCCAATTATTGTTACCTCAAGATGTTGTTAACTGCCTTCATAAATAATTAGTAAATAAAGAAGTAGGTAAATGGATGAGTTGATACATGTTTTCGTCAATGATTTAATAAATGACGTGATTGCTGCTGCTGTGCTAAGGCGCCGCCGTTGTGAGTGCAAGAGGGCCCATTTGAAATGAAGGACGATGACTTCATAAAAAAATTACGTTTTAACAAAAATTTGGTTAGTAATTTATAAAGTTATGAATGATATTGGTATCGATTCTGACACGATTCTCTAAACTTAAAACTAAATTTAACATCAGTCTCTCCTTTTCATTCTGTATGGAGAATGACAAGGATACACTGTTGTCAAATTTACGTTTAGGTTTAGAGAATCATGCCAGAATCGACACCATTTTCTTATTGACGATACGGAGTTTTTGGCGGGATTTCTGCGAGTGCGGTTGGCGTCTTATTTTAATTATTCTAAAATTCGTTCATAGTGGATATTGTGAAATAAAATTGGTGTGATTTGGTGTTACAACCGTCTGCGCAACTGAAGAATTAGTGGAATCTTTAAAATATACGCTATTCCGGTCAAGTGGACGCGAGAACTTTATTGTAGTGTTGACTACCTCACAGAAGCTTAGAGAAAAAGCCAACTCCATAAATTTCGTGCCAAACACTCCAAGAAACATTAGAATGCGTCACACCGACATTCTAATTAAAAAAAAAGAAGATTAATATAACTAAAGACAAGGCTGTATGGGCATTGTTCCCTTTGCCTTCCCTGAGAAGGGAGAATCTTAAATAATATTGACGTTTCATTATACATAACGTTGAAATTATATACGCATACAATTTAGTTAAAGTTGCGATTTCTTGTACTCAAAAAATGTATACTCATATTTAATATGAATGGAATTCATAAAATATCATTTTGTTGCTTGTAAAATTCTGCTCTAATTTATTATTATTTTATATAGATTATGATGTTAACTTAATCGAGAAAAACGGAACGCATTCGGCAGTGAAAAAATATCTACGATAGATATAAATATCATTGGAATATCGAAAATCCACGAGAATAGCATTTTTTACCATCAGTAGATATTTTCAATAGATATCCCTACTTTCGATATTATCTCGAAGCCGATATAATATCTACGCCGCGAGAATTGGGCCCCTGGTCCTTCGAGCCTGAATAATTTAGACAAATATTTTGTGAACCTATTACTGACTCCACGTTTAAATTATTTGTTAATATGATTATATTGTTTAGTACGAAGTGTCGGGCATGATCGTGGGTGGACTACACGTGACGGCGCGCCGCGAGCAATACGAGCAGGTGCTGGAGACCGCACGCTGGGTCACCGCGCCCCACCACGCGCTGAGTGCTCACGCGCAGGTATAGTGCGGTCACACTCCGCGAGCAATACGAGCAGGTGCTGGAGACCGCACGCTGGGTCACCGCGTCCCACCACGCGCTGAGTGCTCACGCGCAGGTATAGTGCGGTCACACTCCGCGAGCAATACGAGCAGGTGCTGGAGACCGCACGCTGGGTCACCGCGTCCCACCACGCGCTGAGTGCTCACGCGCAGGTATAGTGCGGTCACACTCCGCGAGCAATACGAGCAGGTGCTGGAGACCGCACGCTGGGTCACCGCGTCCCACTAGATTGAAGATGGCTTTTTTCTGAGCATTAAAAAATCAGCCTTAAGTATTTATATTTTCCTGACGTGAAACAGGGTCAAAGTGGATTTATTCATTTATTGTTAAAAAATACTGGCAGGTTAGGCAGGCTTAGGTGAGTCTTAACTAGGCAGTAATTTGCCTGCATTTTTCATTTTGTTCAATCTCCCACGGACACAGTGATGAAATGTAAGTACTTATTGTATGATCTGTAAATTTTGGGGAGAGAAATGAAGTAATAATTATAATTAGATTTCATTTCCCGCAGCCGGAGGTGGTGCGCAGTGAGGAGTCGTTGCTGGAGTCAGCGGTGCCCACACTTCAGCTGGACCCCGCCCTCCGCGCCGCCGCCCTACACGCGCCCGCCCCCAGCCCCGGCCCCGCCCCCGCGGCGCCGCACCGCGCTGTGTCGCATGCGCCCGCGCAACCGCATCCGCTCATCACGGGTAAGCATCGATCACACTGTGGTGCGGAGTGAGTCGTTGCTGGAGTCAGCGGTGCCCACACTTCAGCTGGACCCCGCCCTCCGCGCCGCCGCCCTACACGCGCCCGCCCCCAGCCCCGGCCCCGCCCCCGCGGCGCCGCACCGCGCTGTGTCGCATGCGCCCGCGCAACCGCATCCGCTCATCACGGGTAAGCATCGATCACACTGTGGTGCGGAGTGAGTCGTTGCTGGAGTCAGCGGTGCCCACACTTCAGCTGGACCCCGCCCTCCGCGCCGCCGCCCTACACGCGCCCGCCCCCAGCCCCGGCCCCGCCCCCGCGGCGCCGCACCGCGCTGTGTCGCATGCGCCCGCGCAACCGCATCCGCTCATCACGGGTAAGCATCGATCACACTGTGGTGCGGAGTGAGTCGTTGCTGGAGTCAGCGGTGCCCACACTTCAGCTGGACCCCGCCCTCCGCGCCGCCGCCCTACACGCGCCCGCCCCCAGCCCCGGCCCCGCCCCCGCGGCGCCGCACCGCGCTGTGTCGCATGCGCCCGCGCAACCGCATCCGCTCATCACGGGTAAGCATCGATCACACTGTGGTGCGGAGTGAGTCGTTGCTGGAGTCAGCGGTGCCCACACTTCAGCTGGACCCCGCCCTCCGCGCCGCCGCCCTACACGCGCCCGCCCCCAGCCCCGGCCCCGCCCCCGCGGCGCCGCACCGCGCTGTGTCGCATGCGCCCGCGCAACCGCATCCGCTCATCACGGGTAAGCATCGATCACATTGTCACCAACATTGTTTCAGGACCAGTACGACTTGAAACCTTCAAAAAAGAAAATAGCGTACTCAAAGAGTTATCTTTCCTTCAAGGGCTGTATCGCATTGGTGTTGCAGGTGTCTATGGGAGGCGGTGATCACTTCCCGCGAGCTCGTATGCCCCCTATTAAAAATAAAAAAAACGTGTGGCACTAGGGGACTGCTGCGGTAAAGCTGTTGCATAGCATTTTTTATCAACTTATGCAATTTTAATTATTTATTTATTTCATTTGTGCAGTATTTTTTTTCTTTGATATTAATTCAAGTTTTTTCTTTGATATTAATAGATGGTGAGGCAGGCCTTATGATATTTTACTGGGCAAACACAACAAAGAACAACATTGCCCGACGCCAAAAAACTTCCACAAGCTCCACAGTTTACCATCTTTAGTCCAAAAATTTTAATTATAATTATGAAGTCTAAATAAAAGGGAGACAAATAAAAATAAGAACAGGTGCTGAGGTCTTAAACAAATATATAAAAAAAGGAAATAAAAAATACGAGTGCGGTATTTGAACCGACGACCGCGGTGATGCGTCGAATGTTGGTCCCTTGGCAAAAATTTAACACACTGCGCCGTTTAGATCGATACTTCAAAGGCGAAAATTGGTATCACATGCACTCTTGTCAGGTTATTTTCGTTACGGAATTTCTTGATTCGGTCGCCGCGCTCGAAGCCCTCGATAAAATCTATGCATTAGTTTAAAAATAAAACGTCATCAATAACTTCAAAAAATAGTTATGTTCAGCCTTAAAGATGGTTTCGTTTGTTTTTCATGTTTAAGTAGTACAAATGTCCGATGTGTCCGGAATTGTAAAATAAAAACTTCCTCCTTGTTTGCAGTACACTTCGAAGTGTGTGAGCTGAGCGTGGAGCTGGTAGCAGACCTGGGGGCAGGCGCGCGCAGTCTCGTGGAGCTCACCTTCCGAGAATTTCTGCTGCAGTATCGGGCCGAAACGCCGCACGAGACGCATCTGCAGGTAACCATTATGATCTTACGGCGCCTGGAATCGTTTAATGGATGCTTGGCAATCCATTTTGCATGCTTATAATAGCTTATATATATATTTTTTTTTATAGATAGGTCCGACAAATGAGTTCACCCCACCTGATGTTAAGTGAAGGTGAAGTCCAGACGCGAAGATAGCTGATACAACATATATGCTTATATAGCTTCATAATAGAAGTTCCATATTTCATAATTTTAAGATGATTATAATATTTTACGACCTCCATGGCCAAGTGGTTTATACGCCTGGTTTCATGGTGTCGCCGACTCGAGAGGTCTCGGGTTCGAATCTATATATCTAAGTATATGTATTCTATCCGTTACCCTAGTATCCCATAACACAAGCCTTACAGTGCTTACTTTGGAGCTAGGCTAATAGGGTATTTGACAGTATTAAAAATAAAGTGTCAATTGTTAGCATCTGTGTTTAGAATGAATATTGGCAGGGGTTTTTCCTATTTTTACAAAAAAATATTCATAATTTTACTAAAAACCCACGAAAACGATAATAGTTTTCTTATCTATTGTCACGTGACCCAAAACGCTTGGGATTGGCGGAGCCTAAAATAACGTCACACGCAAGTAAACTTCCGGTTAAAGTGACATTGGGTGTATTCCGAAATATAAAGCAATACGCTGACCAGCGGTAATGACGTCATGATTTCGACGCCATATTACCCTGGTGTAGTAGTAGTGTTGTCAATATGGCGTCGAAATCATGACGTCATTACCATTGGCCAGCGTACTGGTGTTTGATTCGGAATGCACCCATTACATTGTATCGTTTGACGTTTTAATAACAGTCGTGTGACGTCACACATTAGTAAGACGTCATATTGTCCAGAGAAACGTTTCCACGGCAACTTGTAAATGGCGTTTTTGATTCGGTTATTTTCAGAGTATATATATATTTTTATAAATAGGTCTGTCAAATGACTCCAATGACTCCACCCCACCTGATGTTAAGTGACGGTGAAATCCAGACACGGAGATAGCTGATACAGCAGTAGAACTGCTGTATCAGCCACATGGTTTTACCATGGCAACATTTTTATTTATAAACTTTTTTATTGAGATTTGAATTCATAAATATATGTCGGCGGATGGCGTCTCCCTCGCTCCTTCGAAACTTTAAACCGACAACAAATGTCATCAGTCAGTGTACCATTGCTTTGTGAAACGTCAAGTAATGGCAGTGACAGCTGTCATCACTTGGGAGTGGTCTATGCTAAGGGTAGTATTTAAGGGGCTATGCTTCATTGGAAGGGGCATTCAGCATTCAGACGTGAGCCGCGATATCGAACGGACGTTAGCAGAGAACTCTCCACGCTTCGCAAAGCAATCCGTTTGTACCTTGGCAATCGTAACTGATTTTGTAAAGTAATAAGAAGCTTCAAATTAAACGTAAGCTTTGTCAGTAGACTACAGTTTTATTTTCGGGAAATAACATTGAATACCCAAGATGGCGGATCAAGACGAACCACGTGGACAACCGCCTATCCCGCTCGCCCCTCCGACATATATAAATAAATAAATAAATAAAATAAATATTTCCGACACTCACACCAATTAGCCTAGCCCCAAAGTAAGCACTATAAGGCTTGTGTTATGGGATGCTAGGGTAACGGATAGAATACATATACTGTACATATATAAGTATATTTTATATAAATACATATTAAACATCCATGACTGGAGTACAAATGCTCGTATTCATCACACAAATATCTGCCCCCACCGGGATTCGAACCCGGGACCTCTCGAGTCGGTGACAGCCATGAAACCCGGCGTACAAACCACTCGGCCACGGAGGTCGTATTTTTGTTATTATAAATTTGAAGTGCAAGGTGAAGTAATGTAATGTCGTTGTTTCCCGGGGGCAGGTGTCACTCCGCTCGGTAACGATGGAGGACCTCACGAAGGAGCCCGGCTCGGAGCACCGCCTCCTGCTTGTCTCGCAAGTGCGCAGTCCCCCGCGGCCCCTGTGCCTGTCCCGCTCGTGCCCCAACCTCGCGCGTGCCGCCATCCCCTCCACCGCACGGGGCTCCTCCAATCGCGCGCCTCTCACCAGGACCGCCTCGTTGCCGGCCCATCTCGATCTACTGCACGAGGTGAGTGACCCCGACCTCGCGCGTGCCGCCATCCCCTCCACCGCACGGGGCTCCTCCAATCGCGCGCCTCTCACCAGGACCGCCTCGTTGCCGGCCCATCTCGATCTACTGCACGAGGTGAGTGACCCCGACCTCGCGCGTGCCGCCATCCCCTCCACCGCACGGGGCTCCTCCAATCGCGCGCCTCTCACCAGGACCGCCTCGTTGCCGATATACACGATATACACTCAAGGCAAACTTTTTGACAATCACAACAAACCTTAGACAAGGAAGCCTGCGCAGTAGCAAATTTACATACGAAACGTCTACAGCGGAAGTTTATTTATCTCAAGAAGTATGGCGGTACTTATAAGGTTTTTCAAGTGTAATTTCTGTTCATTTCGAATGTAGATTAGAAATAGATTCGTACATGTATAGAAAATTTTAATAGGTTTGCTTTCGAAGTTATGAATATACATAACTGTTAAACTCTCATGAATAGAGAAATGGAAAAAGAAGAGGCAATGGTATGTAATAATCTATCGACCCAAAAAGTCATTAAAGTCCAGATGGGACACGTGGCGAGGAATGACACGCGCGCACTCGCGAAAAAAAAAGTACGTGAGCTCACGGTTTGACACACATCGCTGATGGTACCACGTTCCCTCGTTGAACGAAGCGACGATGGCGGCGATGCCTCAGGACGTCAACCCTTGACGTCACAGCATGCTGCACCCTGATGGTAGGGGTCTACGGGCTGACGCCGCAGGGCTGAGCAGGGAGCACGCAGGTCTCAGGAGCTCATGGGCATTTGAGCACGCCGGTGAAGCCGAATACCCGAAGAGTCGGAGAGCGTGGGTGATCACGTGTCACACCACGCACGCAGCGGCCGCGAGATTATATTGTACTCACTATATGAACTACACAATATCTAGTAAGGGCAGAAGGCCATAAAAAACTAAAAACTAAGGGGCATGGCGGTGTGCCATTTCATCCCCCTGGTTCGGTAATCGGCCGACCAAACATGGTGCCACGCGAACCTTCTAGGTGACGAATTGGTTTGGCGACAAGCGACACAGCCTCCTCGTAGCAATGTCTCCGGGCGACTGTCCAGTGTCCGACGCTTAAGTAGGTCAGTAGTGCAACGGCGAAGGATCAAGGAAACATCGACTTATCGATGGATACTTGAAATCCGAAATCAAACTTTTACAAATGTACCGTTATAAATTTTAATTTATTTACCAAAAAAAGAGTACTTTGTTTGATAATCAAAAACACCCATAATTGAAAATTTCGTGTTTAAAAATCAATGAGCAATCAGTGTGATTGTTTATCGCATGCCAATTGCATCGATAAAGGCTTCTCTTGCGCGTAGGCAAATACGTCACTTGACGTTTGGTTTTGTTTTTTTTTTATTGAAAATGTGATTTTCATATTTATTGAAAACACGCTGTGAAATGGAATGAATTTTCTGAATGCAATGATACCATTAAATCGTAATTTGGTTCGGTATTTATAAAGATATTAGACCGGGAGATGATGACACAAAATACTTGGTCATTTGTACCAGTATGGCGGTTCTTCAGGGGTCTAATTACGTAAAGGCAAAAAGGAAAATGATGGTCATAGCGCTCGCACCGGCGGCCCAATCGCGTGGGCGTTAATCGAACGCGTCGGATAAATAACGAGTGTCGAACGATTTGTTCCACAAAAATGCTTATATTTTCAGATAGTCGAAAAAAAGAAGTAGGCGGTAGCGTAATGCCATACTTCTCGGGTGTGACTTACAGCCCGCCATACCGACGCGAATACATTTATTTAAATAAAACAATTCAACCATTTGTACCAGGCTAATTTTTGCACAGCTAATCATCGTCGAGTAGCCATTCACGAAAATCACCTTGCCATACTTTTCCGACAGTTCCCAATGGCCGCCATACCGCTGCAAAGGAGTAATTTTTTTTTTTTCGCCAAACGATTTGTATCACCCTGAAACTTTTTTTAACAGTTCCCCGTATCATAAATAGAAGTCTGATAATGCCATACCTGTGGGAGGTGGCGAATGTGAACAATATTTTTTCAAAGTCCCAAGATTTTATTCGTAATTCGAACGATTTGTACCAGTATGGCACTAATTTTTCCTGCAAAGTTTCAAACACCTAAGTGGCGGCAATCTTGTCTTATAAGCAGATTTTATGTTGTATAATATTCTGCGGTTCCCACCGCTCGAAAGATTTCTCGAATTGTAGAGGTCTTGGCTCATCGTGTTGGTAAGACATAATGTATGGGAACGCAGGTATACGGCAGCTGTTTGTCAGGCGACTCACAACTACATAGCAATAAAAGTAGTTATATGTGTTAGAATAAGTCGACCGTTATAGTGCCCATAAGGGTGGAGATGTGACGCCGTTCAGTTTACCGTTTATCCCTGGTTCGAACGGACGCGTAAAATGGATGAAAATAACAGTGCAGTTCGCAGTCCAGTAAAAAAAAATTGTTTCATTTGCCTCAAAAGTACTGCACCGATTATTAACTTTAAAGAAGAGACTTTGGAGAAGTGCATTTTTTTTCATATCTTGCTCGAGTGTGACAGTCTTCCGCCCCATAGTTATAGTATGGGATTATTTTTTTTAGGTTGAATTTTATATTAAATAAATTAAATAAACCGAATACAATGATGCCATACTGTAACAAATGATTTTATGTCTTGTACCTTGAAAACGTGTCGAAAAATCAGGTTTTTCAAGTATGGCGCCACTTTCTCCCTCTACTACAAGTATGGCAAATATTATAATGGTCACATTGTATCGTATAATTTCCAAAAATCCAAATGCCATACTGGTACAAATCGTCAAATTTTTTTTTTCTTTTTCACCTTTTAGCTCAAGTCCGACAGTCATCCGCCCCATGTTTACAATCTGTAGTAATTTTTTTTACGTACAATTGCATCGAAATGACGAGAATACAATGATGTCATGATGTAAAAAATGATTTTACGTATTTTGCAGTCGTATTTTTAAAGCGTGTCAAATAAATAAGTATTTCAAGTATGGCAGCACTTTTTCCCCCTACTAGAAGTATGGGAAAAATAATAACGGTCACATTTTGCCAAATACTTTCCAAAAATTCAAATGCAATACTGGTACAAATCGTTTGGCGAAAAAAAAAAATTACTCCTTTGCAGCGGTATGGCGGCCATTGGGAACTGTCGGAAAAGTATGGCAAGGTGATTTTCGTGAATGGCTACTCGACGATGATTAGCTGTGCAAAAATTAGCCTGGTACAAATGGTTGAATTGTTTTATTTAAATTAATGTATTCGCGTCGGTATGGCGGGCTGTAAGTCACACCCGAGAAGTATGGCATTACGCTACCGCCTACTTCTTTTTTTCGACTATCTGAAAATATAAGCATTTTTGTGGAACAAATCGTTCGACACTCGTTATTTATCCGACGCGTTCGATTAACGCCCACGCGATTGGGCCGCCGGTGCGAGCGCTATGACCATCATTTTCCTTTTTGCCTTTACGTAATTAGACCCCTGAAGAACCGCCATACTGGTACAAATGACCAAGTATTTTGTGTCATCATCTCCCGGTCTATATTACGATAAACACTTTTTACAATGAAATATTATTTATGATCGTGTTTTCAGACACAGCAATGATTCCAGGAATGAATTAGTAGACGAAACATAATCAAGGATGTATGTTCGATCTTAATGAATGGTTGTTAAATTGTGCTACCTATTATCATAAGCTATGTACCTATTGTTGACATATTATTTGCGTGATCGGCGGTCTGTGACGTCACGTCGTCAAAGAAAAGTCGTGTACCACGACAGTATGCAGTTTTATATAAACCAGAAGAGTATATTACTCAAACCTATTTATCTTATTAATGTGTCATATTTAGATCTAATATGAGCTTTAGTTTTTTTGATAATTGTAAATTTGTTTTAAAGAAAAATATGTTTTGCCTAATGAGACTCAATTTTTTTTTAATTCATTATTGTCTTTTCATGATGATAATCTTTCGTTTTATGCTTATAGTATCCAGATGTAAGGTTTTTTGTAAAGGACAAGGCCTCGACTATTTAGAAAAAATAAAACTAATGACTTACCCTTTCGACGGTTGTAATAAAATACGTCGTGTTTTTATACATTTTATTAAAAATGAAACGATGTCTTCTTTCAGTAAAATATCCTATTTACAATATTTAATATACTCTCCCTCCGTGTGACAATGCCGTGGGACGCCCTGTATATGTATAAATGTTTGTTGAGTTTGCCAGTGGTTGCTTTTGCAATATGCTGAGATTTATTACATATACGTTATAGATTATGTAAGTTAAGGTGTAAAAATGTTGGCAGACCTTTAAATAAATGAGTAAATGAAATGTTCTATTCATCCACCGCCTAGCTGCGCCGTAAGAAGCGGGACAGCAAGTGCGGCGTCACGCCCCCTTGCTCGCCGGAATGTCCGGAGGAGTGGGGCGAGGACGCGGACGCGGGGGAGGGCGGGGCTGCGGACAAGGGGGGAGGCGACGATGCGCCGCCCGAGGACAACCTCGTGTGGGTGTCCGTGCATACCAGGGACCCAGGACACCCGCACTTCCACGACCTCTACGATCAGGTAACCTTACCTATGATATTGAATCGTATTTGTACACGAGGAGCTCGATGGCGCAAGTGGTTAGCGCGTTCCGCAGCGATCGTTGAATTTAAGCAACTTTCGCAGTGGTTCGGTCATTGGATGGGTGACCGAAAAATTTACTATCTCGAGCTCCTCCGTGCTTCGGAAGGCACGTTAAGCCGTTGGTCCCGGCTGCATCTGCAGTCGTTAGCACCCACCAACCCACACTGGGCCCGCGTGGTGGGTCATGGCCCAATCTCCCTATTCCATCCATAGGGAAGCCTGTGCCCCAGCAGTGGGGACATTAATAGGCTGATGATGATGATGATGACACCGGACAATCCCTGCGATTTATGGCGTGCTTTTTAGCTCTGTAATTGTTATTTTTACTATGATATAAATGAAAAAAAAAACGGCGGTTTGCACTCCGGGAGTGCCGGCAGAAGTGAAAACTTGAATATTAACGTTGTGCATTTTTGATATTTTAGAATGTTTAGGGAATAATTTTGCACGAATTGCTTTAGTTATCAGTATAAAAGTACTATCATGTATGTGGTAGAAAACAATATTTATTTATTGCGCTATCGTACACAAACATGACAATTTATATTACATTAAAAAAGTTTATCTCCCAGAAAAATCAACTTACATGCATCTTGTTTAAGCGCACTTAGCGACATCAATTGTAAAAAAATTAATTTATATGAATCAAATTTAAGCGCACCTAGCGACAAAAAAATGCATTTTCTTCGCAATAAAGCTGCCACGTGGACGTCCTACATAGAGACTTATTATTATAATACGGTAAAATAAAATATAACTATGTTTCGTCCAATATATTGAAAGTCAACAACCTTTCCAATTTTATTGTGTGTCATAGTGCGATCAGCCCACGTGTTTAACCTGACGCGAGTTTAACATTTTTTACCCATACAAAAAAAGTGTACAACGCCGCTAAAGAAGTTTTCTCTTAAAAAAAAAAGGTATTATCATCATCATCATCTTCAGCTATTTCATGTCCAGTTCTGGACATAGCAGATATACCTCCTCCAGTTTCCCCGTGGTTTTTCGGTTTTGTGTCTTAAGCAATAATTTCCATCCCGCATATCTTCTGATATCATCTACCCGTGTCTGCTGCTATGATCGGGGTATGATAGAGTATCATACTCGGTTATAAAAAAAATGTGGTTTTATGAACCACGGTACAGATTAAACTTTTAAAGCTTTTTACATCGCCTTAATATTTTTCAATTAGTAAGCCATTTAGCTAAAACATTTTCGGAAAATTATTCGAAGTTGATGTTATGGAAAATATAAAAGCCCTTCCTCGGGTGGGAATCGAAACCGGGCCGCCCGCGCGAGCTTTCTACTACTACCACTGATGCTTGTTGATAAGTTTTGATTTTTTTACTGACCAAACTATAACTAAAACAAAACTGAAGGACAATTTCATACGATTGTTGCTGACTATATTCTCTACATCTGTGCTCGAATTTAAATACGATACTTGGGTATTAACCAAACAATAAGGATTGACTCCTTCCTTCACATTCGTGTACGTTTTGAAAGGTACCAAAAATGCGTTTAACCATCCTGAATTCTGATGACTGATCAAGAAATATTATTTGTTAGATTTAACTAAAAAAATGACCCATAGTAAAATATCAAAAAGTCAATGTAAATTCGATATTATTGCACGGATTAAAAAGTGCATTTTAATGATATAATGGTGTCGATTCTGGCATGATTCTCTAAACCTAAACTTAAATTTGGCAACAGTGTATCCTTATCATTCTCTATACAGAATGAAAAGGAGAGACTGACGTTAAATTTAGCTTTAAGTTTAGAGAATCACGCCAGAAGCGACACCAATAAAAGATATTTAAATTGTTTGTGATATGTTTTTTTTTGCATGCTTGCAAATCACAGAATTTAAGTAACAAACTTATAACATAAAAAGTTAAATTAATAAAACGATTGCATTGAAATATTATCGGTTTGTTAGATTACGAAGCTGACTAAGGTGGAATTCAATTGCTTGGACTTGGTGGTGAACGTAGACAGCTGGGTGGCAGTGCTGGACTTCTTCGGCGTCGCGGGCGATGACCTGCCTGAAGACGAAGCTGCCAACCCACCGCAAACTGGTAAATATTTTTACTGTTTTCAATTAATTTATTTACAGAAAACAATGAAAGACAATGTGTCATATTTAGTTCGACTGTAACATTTTTTGTGTTTGATCTCAGTAGTAATTAGAAATATAGTGATAGTGCCATGGTTTTATTAATCTTTGTTCCAGTTCTTATTATCAGCAAAGAGATGGATTAAACGGATGATATGAAAGTAACATTGTTAGATTTATGAATTTCGATAAATATAATTCCATTTCAAGATATGTTGTAGATTTCTGTTATTGAGGGATCATTCGCTTAATTATTTCACATTATAGTTTGATTCGATTTTCATGGTCGTATCAGGAGCGGGGGCTGCACCAGGCGCAGTGGAGCAGAGTGCCGGCGCCACGCGCACGGAAATATCCGTGCGGTCTCTGGGAGTGGTGGTGGTGCGCTCGCAGGCCGCGTGGCTGCGGGCGCGGGTGTGGCGCGTGCGCGTGCGGGCGCAGGCCGGGCCCGGGGCCGGGGGCGGGCCCGGGGGCGGGCGCACCGTCACCGCCAGCCTCGCGGCGCTGCGGCTCACCGAGCTGACGCCCGCGCACCGCGTGTGGCGGCACCGCCTCACCACGCATGCGCAGCACGCGCTCACAGTGCGCCACACCAGGTGAGTGGGGCGGGGCCGGGGGCGGGGCCGGGGGCGGGCCCGGGGGCGGGCGCACCGTCACCGCCAGCCTCGCGGCGCTGCGGCTCACCGAGCTGACGCCCGCGCACCGCGTGTGGCGGCACCGCCTCACCACGCATGCGCAGCACGCGCTCACAGTGCGCCACACCAGGTGAGTGGGGCGGGGCCGGGGGCGGGGCCGGGGGCGGGCCCGGGGGCGGGCGCACCGTCACCGCCAGCCTCGCGGCGCTGCGGCTCACCGAGCTGACGCCCGCGCACCGCGTGTGGCGGCACCGCCTCACCACGCATGCGCAGCACGCGCTCACAGTGCGCCACACCAGGTGAGTGGGGCGGGGCCGGGGCCGGGGGCGGGCCCGGGGGCGGGCGCACCGTCACCGCCGGGTGCAGCACCAAGTAACCAGTCAATGGTATTGCTGATGTGATGTCCATAGGCAACGGTGCTCACTTAACATCTGGTGGCTCGTCTGACTTCAAAGACAATAAAAAAGGTACTCGCGCGTTTCATAATCCAATTTACAGTTTAGAAACTTTATTTAAGTATCTTATCTCCTGAGACAGTATAATTAGTTCAATTGCCAGATTTTATAAAATTAGAAATATCTACAAAAGTATTAATCTAAAGTCAATCATAACGAATACGTAATTAATTTTAGTAGCGCTAAGCTAAGCAGTACCTACTGAAAGCTCCGATTCCGTTATTTATTTCAGTATCTTTGCTATATCGATCAACGATATAATCTCAAGTTCTGTCATGTAAAAATGCCCCTATAAATAAATTAATGTCAATAACAGGTTAAGCAGCAGCGAGGCAGCCCACTCGGGCTACGACTCCAGCCTATACATCGAGATGGGTCCCGCTACGTACGTACACACCAAGCGGTTCGTGCACGAGCTGCACGCCTTCTCGCGCGACTTCAGTATGCTGCGCCGCGTCATACTGCAGGCCAGGCGGAAGGTATGCATGATGAATTCTTTAAATCTTTATTTACAGCAGCTTATTCAATTAAATATTTTGCAGAAACTCTACGTTTTAATTAATTAAACAAATAAAAAATATTTACAACACCCACACCAACTAGTCTAGCCCCAAAGTAAGCACTGTAAGGTTTGTGTAATGGGATACTAGGGTATCACAAACATCGGCCCCCACCGAGATTCGAATCCGGGACCTCTTGAGTCGGCGATAAGCAAGAAATACGAGCTGACGCTATAATATCGTTGCGTGTCGCGATGGACTTGTAAACCATAATGCCACTTTACGTTTGACAGTTCTTTATAACTTATTCAGAACACTGTTCGATAGTAAACATATAATACTATAATCACTGTTATCTATGGACGTACACATATAATCGCACACGAACACTTTGATTGCACTTTGATAGTCTTTGTAATCGTTCTGAAATCGCTATTGAAAGCTGCCTTGAAAATAAAATTGTTGAGCTCTTATATACGCCAATAGACGCATTCCAGAATAGTTTAGTTCAATTAAGTTAGGTTTTGGATTTTTGGAACATAAAAATAAACACGGAGGACATTTTGGAACCGGTGGTAGTTTACGGTACTTAGGGTCAAAAAAATAAACTCAAAATTACAAACAAGAATTTTAAATAAAATACTTTATTAAGTAAATTAAATAATAAATTCATACATAGACAATAAAATTTTAAAAAATTTCCAATGAAATAACCGAACGCTCAATATAAGTCTTTCGAAGGTAGCTCGACAATTTTAAATAAAAAATCATTATTCTGACGATGCAGACCTGAAAAGGCTGCGAAACGTCAATAAATAAATAAAGTTTCATGCATTAACCCGTAAAAACTAGTTTTATTTAATGAGTGATGTGCGTGAAAACCTAAGAAACAAAAACACGGAGTGGTCGATATAGTGTACATATCTGCACTGGGCAGGTGTCGGTCGGCCCGGGCGGGTCGGAGGGTGCGGTGCGGCGCCGCTTGGAAGTGGTGTGCGCGCGCGCCATGGTGGTGCTGCCGGTGAGCGCGCGCGCGCACGACGCGCTGGCCGTGCAGCTGGCGCGCGCGCACCTCACCAACACGCTGCTGCGCGCCGGACAACCCGGCACTGTGGGCGTGCCCGCGCCCCACGCAGGTAGGAGGTGGAGTGCGCGCGGTGTCATGGTGGTGCTGCCGGTGAGCGCGCGCGCGCACGACGCGCTGGCCGTGCAGCTGGCGCGCGCGCACCTCACCAACACGCTGCTGCGCGCCGGACAACCCGGCACTGTGGGCGTGCCCGCGCCCCACGCAGGTAGGAGGTGGAGTGCGCGCGGTGTCATGGTGGTGCTGCCGGTGAGCGCGCGCGCGCACGACGCGCTGGCCGTGCAGCTGGCGCGCGCGCACCTCACCAACACGCTGCTGCGCGCCGGACAACCCGGCACTGTGGGCGTGCCCGCGCCCCACGCAGGTAGGAGGTGGAGTGCGCGCGGTGTCATGGTGGTGCTGCCGGTGAGCGCGCGCGCGCACGACGCGCTGGCCGTGCAGCTGGCGCGCGCGCGCACGACGCGCTGGCCGTGCAGCTGGCGCGCGCGCACCTCACCAACACGCTGCTGCGCGCCGGACAACCCGGCACTGTGGGCGTGCCCGCGCCCCACGCAGGTAGGAGGTGGAGTGCGCGCGGTGTCATGGTGGTGCTGCCGGTGAGCGCGCGCGCGCACGACGCGCTGGCCGTGCAGCTGGCGCGCGCGCGCACGACGCGCTGGCCGTGCAGCTGGCGCGCGCGCACCTCACCAACACGCTGCTGCGCGCCGGACGACCCGGCACTGTGGGCGTGCCCGCGCCCCACGCAGGTAGGAGGTGGAGTGCGCGCGGTGTCATGGTGGTGCTGCCGGTGAGCGCGCGCGCGCACGACGCGCTGGCCGTGCAGCTGGCGCGCGCGCACCTCACCAACACGCTGCTGCGCGCCGGACAACCCGGCACTGTGGGCGTGCCCGCGCCCCACGCAGGTAGGAGGTGGAGTGCGCGCGGTGTCATGGTGGTGCTGCCGGTGAGCGCGCGCGCGCACGACGCGCTGGCCGTGCAGCTGGCGCGCGCGCACCTCACCAACACGCTGCTGCGCGCCGGACAACCCGGCACTGTGGGCGTGCCCGCGCCCCACGCAGGTAGGAGGTGGAGTGCGCGCGGTGTCATGGTGGTGCTGCCGGTGAGCGCGCGCGCGCACGACGCGCTGGCCGTGCAGCTGGCGCGCGCGCGCACGACGCGCTGGCCGTGCAGCTGGCGCGCGCGCACCTCACCAACACGCTGCTGCGCGCCGGACGACCCGGCACTGTGGGCGTGCCCGCGCCCCACGCAGGTAGGAGGTGGAGTGCGCGCGGTGTCATGGTGGTGCTGCCGGTGAGCGCGCGCGCGCACGACGCGCTGGCCGTGCAGCTGGCGCGCGCGCACCTCACCAACACGCTGCTGCGCGCCGGACAACCCGGCACTGTGGGCGTGCCCGCGCCCCACGCAGGTAGGAGGTGGAGTGCGCGCGGTGTCATGGTGGTGCTGCCGGTGAGCGCGCGCGCGCACGACGCGCTGGCCGTGCAGCTGGCGCGCGCGCACCTCACCAACACGCTGCTGCGCGCCGGACAACCCGGCACTGTGGGCGTGCCCGCGCCCCACGCAGGTAGGAGGTGGAGTGCGCGCGGTGTCATGGTGGTGCTGCCGGTGAGCGCGCGCGCGCACGACGCGCTGGCCGTGCAGCTGGCGCGCGCGCACCTCACCAACACGCTGCTGCGCGCCGGACAACCCGGCACTGTGGGCGTGCCCGCGCCCCACGCAGGTAGGAGGTGGAGTGCGCGCGGTGTCATGGTGGTGCTGCCGGTGAGCGCGCGCGCGCACGACGCGCTGGCCGTGCAGCTGGCGCGCGCGCGCACGACGCGCTGGCCGTGCAGCTGGCGCGCGCGCACCTCACCAACACGCTGCTGCGCGCCGGACGACCCGGCACTGTGGGCGTGCCCGCGCCCCACGCAGGTAGGAGGTGGAGTGCGCGCGGTGTCATGGTGGTGCTGCCGGTGAGCGCGCGCGCGCACGACGCGCTGGCCGTGCAGCTGGCGCGCGCGCACCTCACCAACACGCTGCTGCGCGCCGGACAACCCGGCACTGTGGGCGTGCCCGCGCCCCACGCAGGTAGGAGGTGGAGTGCGCGCGGTGTCATGGTGGTGCTGCCGGTGAGCGCGCGCGCGCACGACGCGCTGGCCGTGCAGCTGGCGCGCGCGCGCACGACGCGCTGGCCGTGCAGCTGGCGCGCGCGCACCTCACCAACACGCTGCTGCGCGCCGGACGACCCGGCACTGTGGGCGTGCCCGCGCCCCACGCAGGTAGGAGGTGGAGTGCGCGCGGTGTCATGGTGGTGCTGCCGGTGAGCGCGCGCGCGCACGACGCGCTGGCCGTGCAGCTGGCGCGCGCGCACCTCACCAACACGCTGCTGCGCGCCGGACGACCCGGCACTGTGGGCGTGCCCGCGCCCCACGCAGGTATCTCTTATCTATTACACGAGTCCGTCCATACGGAAGGCCTGTGCCCCAGCTGTGAGGACATTAATAGGCTGATGATGATGATGATGAATAGAATTTCGTGCAGTTCTGTACTATTTTTGGACAGTCAGGTAAAGAAAACAGTTAAGTAAGTACCAATGACCTTCTATGTAAGCACTTACATGAAAATATTGCACAAAAATGTATGAATTTTATACATCGACGTTTTTATGGCATCCATTTCGCTTTTGATGAAAGACTACATTTATTAAAGATGTTGGAAAACATCTCTTATCTATTAGACAAGTCCGTCCGTCCGTCTGTGGTGCTGTTTCAGCGGCCAAACCGTAACAGATAGATAAAGAGAATGTTTAAGTTATAAGTTAAGAATAGTCTGATAAGACTACAAACCGGATTTGAGTAACGTAGCACTTCCGGTTTTCGAGAAATCACGAATTTCAAACGAAACCACACAAAATCTCCGAAATTCTCAATTTTTTTTCTTTTTTTTTAAA